CCCCCCCCCCCCCCAACTGATGCTGCATACTATGCCTGTGACAAAGGGGTAGTGACTTATGACTGAGGACAATTTCGCTGATAGTTTGGACGTTCAGATTTATTGAAATTGAAATGATGCATTTTTCTAACGAAATACTCTAAGCACTGATTAAACCCTTTGAAATTTACCCAACATTTCCTTATTCATACTTGATCTGACCGGAAATATACACTGACTATTTGGTATCAACATAAATCTAACCATGTCACTGCTTAGTGCTTACTGAAAATCCAAAATATCATTGAAATTGTAATACCTCAAAAGATTGAAACTACCTTTTCTCATATGATTTTTTCTCTATAGAACATGTAGATCAAAGTTCAAGCCCAGTTGCAAAAGTAACTACTATTTAATGGTATTTTATGGTTTTCATTTTACAAAATGTTTTCAATTTTTATTGTTTTGTTTAATGAGCAGAACTTAGAGAACTAAGAGTACTTTGATTTGGTTTTGATTTACCAGTTAAGGGTTGTTATCAACAGTTGGAGGTTGGCAGTGCTAGAAGTCAAGTCAGTGGTGACTAGTAGTGTGATCTTGTTCAGTAATCCATTGGACCGCTCCACCAGTTAACAAGGCCTTCTAAATCATCATGAACCTTCCCTATCCCTCCCCCCCCCCAAAAAAAAAAATTAAAAAATTCCACATCTTTAAATAATATTTATTGTTATGTCGATGAGATTAAGACCAGGTTCCTCTTGCAGCGTAATGCTGTTGTAAAATTTTCAAGTAAATTAGTCTGGCTTGGTACTTTTGTTTCCTTTTGTTCATACCTTTGTAGTACATGTATTACTGTTCTCAATGTTACAAGACCATACACTGTATTCCAGGAAACTGTACTAGTTAAATGTGTCACAGATTTCTAGTGTAAAAAGAGGTCTCCATTGTCTCTGCCACATGATTTCCAATAAAAAAAAAAAGGGGGGGGGGGAGAGGAGAAGGTATCCACAGAGAGTTTTAAAACCATTTTCCTATGACCAAAGTTACGGATAGAATAACTGAATTATGAAACATTTAACATGGCAATCAAGCCTCCAAGTGAGTGTTCATGCTTTATAGTAACTTCTTTGATGTGGTTTAGGGGAATTCCTCAGCAATGTGATCCATTTTGAACAAAAATTATCTTATGTCATAGTGAAATTAATTTTATGAGCAAAATTTTGTATGATTTTCTTTAGAAAATGTTCTGGTGTTTATGGAAGGTTTATTTTTTAGTCCACAGGATTTTGCTCTCTGAATGGATTTTTTACATTGCATACAGATACCTATGTGTGCAATTATAAAATTATTAAATATGAAAGATTGACACAGAATTCCAAATATTTCAATGAGTGAAATAAAAAATATAAAAAGGAGTACTTTTAAATGGGACACCTTCGTCTTTATGACATTGTTATGTGGCATAAGGTTGTGACAGGAAAGGGAAAGAGGGGAAAAAATCATTATTAGTAGGTAAAAAGTTGATATTAAAAGAAGAATCTGCCATGTTTGAATATGATTGTCACTCAACTTTAATGATTTCAGTCCTCTTGCTTTGTTTCATAGATTGATAAAAATTACATCCAAAAAATACACATGAGATACTATATAAATACAGTCAAACCTCATTATCTTGAATTCAATTGGACTGAGTGAGGAAAAAATTCAAGATATCTGAAAGTTTGAGATACTGAGGTTAAAATATGTAAAGAAAACATGGTTGGGACTTCAAACCACTTCAATATCCATGGTATTTGAGTAATTGAAGTTCAAGACACGAAGTAAAACTGGATATATAGCCAGATACAAGAAAATGTCTTATAATGGGTACCACAAAAAGATAATAGTGATGTTGTAAGTGCTCAGTGAAGAGCAGTCTCTGAACATGATTTTGGGTGACTTATTGTGACTCCTTTAAAATTGCTGGAAGACAAATATGGGTATTACAATTTATGAAGTATATAAGGATTAAATATGTCCAGTGAAAGGAATGGAAATTAGCTGGGAAAACTGATAAAATTCTGGAAAATCCTAATTTTTAACTCGTATCTCCTTGTTTAGCTTCCTCATGATGATGCTGTAAACAGATAATTTTGCTCAATATGTAAATGATGTACACTTTAAATCAATGTGGATTAGGAAAAGTGAAAATATCTTAGGTGTTTGGGTATAGAGGTTTCTAAGGGAGATAATTCAACATGTCTGGTTTCTCTGAATTTACTGTGAAAGACTTGTGTAGATAGATATGTGTAAGATGTGTATATGTAAGAGGAAGTAGAAATGTGTATTGCAGCTGTATAGGATAAGACAATATAACTTGTGGGGGAAAAAAATCAACCACAGTTAGATTTTTTAAGTACTGTTGTCTGAGCTGAAAACAGAGAACATGCACTTCCTAGATCAGCTGGAAGCTTGATCCTTGAATCATATTTCCCTCAACATAACTATTTATTTGGAATCTATGATCCAACTTTGAACTCTGATAATTTTGTGTAAGGCTTGATTTTTTTTTTTTTACATCGAATTTTTATGGTAAAGAAAGTTCTGTCACAACGTGAGTTTCTATGACATCTTGAATGTAAGATTTGATTTTTAAAGAATAAAAAGAATTTTTTAAAGGTAATCAACCAGATAGATCTGTTGTGCTTTGAAATGCTTCATGTTTGATGACACTGTACAAACACATCACTTTCACCCATGCAAAGAGTGTTATGGTTCACTGGCCAGCATCGCTGTCTGAACGAGCCCTAGGACATACCTACATTATGTGTGTGTAACAGACGTGGGGACACATGGATACATGTGCTGTCTGCTTGAAAAAGCATTTACAACAAATGTGCACACACACATACACACACTCACTTGCTGGTGTTGGACTAGCATTGGTTATTGATTGGAACTAGAGAACTAAGGGGAAAGAATGCCAATAGGTCATTCCTTCATGTGGATACTAATCAATAAAAGTTACAACTTCAGAAGGAGGTACACCAGGAAACATCTGGACTCATAAATCTCAAAACACCCAGGCCTTCCACATTTGAAGGCACCTCAGACACACTTCAGTCTGTTTGAGAATTAAAGTGCTGTCCTGAGCACATATGCTCACAACTTGTAACATGTTGATGCAACTGCAATTGAACCTATAAGGGACAAACTTTTCATATGTATTATATAGAACAAGCATGTAGTGTGTCCAGAGAATGGAAAAGATAGACTACACTTTTTACTATATATATATATATATATATATATATATATATATATATATATATATATATATATATATATATATATATATATATATATGCAAACAGGTGCTTGTTGAGGCATACCTCCTGTGACAACTTGTTGATGTGCCCTTGTTTCTCCAGAGTCATGTTTTCTGTCTGTCACTCCTTGATTTCACTCCTAAGACAGGATGTGGATCTTTTTTTGTTGATATGATTTTCTGATTTGTTACATTTCCTGTTAAGAATTTTTTTTAAGTGGATAAAAAGCCATTATTGGACAGTTGCTAAGTATCATTCCTAATTCATCTTGCATGCAGATTATATGCTTACTTTCTTGTTTCTGTCAAAATTTCACTGTATGTTGACCAATTTCTTACACTCAAGCAGAATGAAGACTTGGGTTTCATTCATTTTGGGACCTGTAGGAAATTTTGAGTAAAAATACAATTCTAGACTCCATCCTAGTGTAAAGGTGCCTCAAGCAGAAGTGTTGTATGTAAGGATTCTCTGAATTTTAAAGTTTCTGTACAAAACAGAGAGACATGCTTCTGTCTTGACTCAGAAGAACTTAATGACATTTTTCAAAAAAATAATTTCTGGGCAGGAAGACCTGATGTATTGGTTTTGAAATCAGAGAAAAATATTGCAACAAAGTTACAGAAGTAAAAACACCTATGACATGGTGTTAAAATCAATATATACCTGTTGGAAAAATTAGTATAATACTTTTTTGTACAAATATAAAGGGCTCTTTAAAATGAATTTTTAATATGCAACTCCATGTGGCAGCAATCTTAGTATTGTGGATGAATCTTGTAACTTTTGTGATGGTATGTATTGATCCAATGTTGACTAAGATCTGTACACACAGAGGCTCATGGTTATGTATCCTCAATATTGATCAGCCTAGAGCCCAGAGTGTACAGGTGATGTCACAGTCCAGCAGTGAAACAGGTCCTTTACAAAGTGCAGAATGCAGATCTACCGTATATAGACATGTGGTCATATAGCAAGTGGAAGCAAGGTCATATTTTACTGGCATCATTTGAGATGCATATATCTAATTAATACTAATAATGTACATTCATGTACTGATAATGTACATATTTGTACTGATAATTAATGTACATTCATGTACATGTTGTATGTTTGTTTGTATTACAACTAATTTACATATACTTGAACTCCTGAAATATTCTATTTTAAAGTTACCAAAGGAACAAAAATAGAGTGTTATAAAATATGTATGTGTGTAAGTTCTTAAATTTAGAGATTGATGCCCGTTTTACTCAAAGAATGATAAGACAAAACATAAAATACAATGGGGAGTTTTCCCATTACATATTTCAATGTCAACTCTGCTTCTATCATTATTTGGCCTAATCTTCATCAGCAAGAATTGTAACAGGGACCCCCAAAGCAGGAAGTTGTTGTAGATATTTGTTATCTACCAATTTGCCAGTCTTTTCTAGAGTTACATCCGGGATATAACACATTTCAAAATACATGTACATGCATATCATAAAAATGGTTATTAAAGGGGAGTTTCTATGTGAAGAGCAAAGCTTTTGAACTTCAAAATGAGAGTGCATGTTTCAAAATATTGAGGCTTTAGAACAATCCGATTTTCTCTATGAGCTGTCACTCTCAGAATCAATTATTCCAGATATGATTTAATATTTTATATGTATTGAATATGGAAACTTGTTCAATGATATTTCAGAAAATATGTTTTAATTCTTTGTCTTGTAGATACGATGGGAAAAGAACATAACATTAGGTGAACCACCAGGGTTTTTACATTCATGGTGGTGGTAAGTCTCATGAATATCAAGACAATTTCAAGTTAAATTCAAGTTGGGAAAAAAGTCAGGAGGAAAAAATATTTTAAAAGAAAATTTTAGCATTTTGGAATTATGAAGAACATTTAAATAATTTTAAAATTTCTACAATTAGATATGAAATAAATTTTAGTTTGTACCAATTTTAGTTTGTACCGTATTCTTCCTAATAAGTGCTTACTCCTATCATTTTTAATTTGGGAAGAAAAAAAAAGAATTCCCTCCCCTGAGTTCCATAAGTACTGTGTACTAATGTCATTTAGACATAAGCTTTGAACTGCTTAACACGAGATTAGACATGGATGTGTTTCATTTGGTACTTTCATTATGAGTTTTAATTAAATGACATTTTAAATGACAAATCCAATAACCACTCCCTTGATCCTAAATACCCCTGGCACTTATTTGGATGGATACTGTATGATAATGTTCAAAATATTTTTTATGAAATATTTCATGATTTTAGATTTTATTGTACATACTTTTATTTTTCAGTGTATTTTGGGATTTATATTGTGCAGCTCCAGAGAGGAGAGAGAACTGTGATCATTCTAGTGAAGCTAAGGCATTTCATGATTATGCAAGTATTTTTAACAGAATTGTAGCCAATCGGTTTTCAAGCATTTGCATATGACAGCAGACTTGTATATTCAAAAGTATTGATTCATTTAGAGGAAAGTCTCAAGGCAGTAAAATCCATTTTATTGTACATGCACATTAAAATTACATGTACTGTGGACAGATGTGTTCTAGAAAGGTACAGAACATGTACACAGTTCATGTACTTGTTATTCCATGATTTTGGCTGCTAACTTTGACTTGAAGACCTTAAACAAAGGTGACAGGTCTTTGAACATGTCTCAACAACATGTGCCTACATTAAATGAATGGTTTAGGACCCTCTGTACTCTGCACACTAAAGACTTCTAATTTCACGGTATTTTTATGCATTTAGAGTGATCTGCCCTTAGATTAAAGCGAAATAAATAGAAATCTAAAGTTCATTTATATTTACCAAATTTGTAATCAATTTAAGCATTCTAAACATTTTGAATTAAGTAAACACTCTATTTGTATGTACTTTTCCCATTTAAGTAAGCAACAGTGATTTCTGTTCATCAACACTTCGTTGTATGGAATCCGGATAGAGCTACATATTTTACTATCTCACTATCAAGCATCGACTGTCGGGTCGATGATGCCATGGTGTGAAAATGATGTGATGCAGTGATGATGCGATGACACGATAATGCGATGACAATGATGCAATAGAATGATGAAGTAGTGAGTATCATGTCATCGTACCATCACATTATCACTTCATCGTGCCACAGCATCATCATCACCGCGCTATCACTCCATCATTGCTTCATCATCATCGCACAGTTGACCCAAACCTCGATGGTGCAGTGATGCGATAGTGAACTAAATGGCCCTATCCAGATTCCATATCATTGTCTTTGAAAATTTTTCCAGAGGGTAAATGGCAGGTACCCTTTTTAGAAATTTAAATAGATAAATTCCATAGTTATATCTTTTTATGGTATGCTGTCCTTGGAGTCCAAAAAGATTTATTTCATGGGTGTATAGAGGGTTTTTGAAGATAGATGCAGAATCTGAATGACATAGTTTCTTTACAAAGGCCTGATTTAAGTTTTGGTCATTTGTGGTCAACTTATTCAAATATGCATTAAAGAGAAAAAAGTTGCTTTATTCTAAGAAGAATATATTTGAAAAGGAAAATATTTATTTAACAGATTTATAAGAAATTATAACATCCTCACAGTTGAGTTTTTGGGAGGTGAACTTGTCAAGGTCAGAGACCCATGGCTGTTCCTGATTCCTCTCCATGTGATGCTAGTTTTCTTTGTTTCATGAAAATATTCAAATAATTATTCCAGCCAATCAACTGGGTTCTTATAGAAATGAAACATTCTGTTTTGAAGTTATTACCATGCACTGCCATTTTGTAAGGCTGTGCCAAAGGAACAATTGTCAGGTTGATTATATGTAGTTCTCCATTTGAGTGAGAATTTTACATCATATTGAGATTTGTACAGCAAAAAGTGAAGTGCCAGATTTTAGACTTTTGCTGTGTGGTGAACTGGTGCAGTCTTGCCTTTTAAGGTCTTGTTAAAGTCCTGAGTCCACCTACTATTTGCAGTTACTCCCTACTTCAGTGCATTATATCCGACCTACCATTTTACAAACACAAGAAGATGAATACTGTACCAATTGAGCCAATGGAGCGAAATGTGACTTTCTGGAAAACAAAAGATGAAAAATACCATTTTCATGAAATACACAATTCTTTTAAGCAAAGTTCTGACCTCTTTAAATGCCATATTGTGTGTTTATCATCAGGTGTCACAGAAATAAAGCTGACTTTGTATTTGCAACTGACTCTTCAGTGATGCAGCCAATGAAACTGCTTTGGTATATTATGTACACATACATTGGTAATGATACAGGGGGATTAACATTATCAACCATGGACACCCTGTAAAATGAAAGCTTTTCATTTAGTTTCCCACTTCGTAAATATATTACTTGGCAAGTGGCTTGAGGAAAAAGTCATTCATTGATTGCAACATCTAAGTACCAGTAAACATCTTTCAAAATCTGAAACTTGCTGTAGCCCATTGCTTTCAGGGCCAGAGGTCAGCAATATTTGACAGTATTTTCAGTTACCATGCAAAGATTATCAGTTGATAGTCCTGTTTCATTTTAACAGCAAGGGTACATGGGGTGTGAGCATTAATTTTGGAATCAGTACACAAGGTCAAGATTATGTTACATATAGTAAGTTTGACAGTGCTCTTGTGTCATACATAAAAAGTCATAGCAATTGACTACTCATGTAATTTTACAGGGATTTGAAGAGAAACACAAGGTTTTGAAGTTTCAAAGTCAGGGTCATTTGTCTGGATTTTATTTGATGAAATGTCCAATGCTCTCTTTCTCTCTGTCTTTGTCATAATAATGTTTGTAGCCTTCTTTGAAAGTGGAGGAAAGTATGAACAAAAGTCAAGTTTGGAAGAATAAGAAACACCAAAAACTTAGAAAAATTCATGGTATTTTTTTTTTTTCAAGAGAGGTTAAAGAAAACTGCATCTGAATAAAAAAAAAAAGGAAGAAGCAAAGCAGTATATGTTTTTATCCCCCTCCCCCCCCCCCCTTCTCTCTTCTGACCACATCTCATTGTTTCTGAACCCCAGACATATGAATTAAGAACAATTACTGTTAATGCTTACATCCAATTTCTGCTAATCTTGCTTAAAAACTAGTTGGAAGGTGTGGGGGGGGGGGGGGGGGTGTTAGAGGTTATTAAATCTGCCCTTTGAATAGTAATTGGTATCTCAAGTAATAATGTCATATTGAAATACACCCATATTGAGAGAGAAAAGATACCTATATTTATAGAGAAGATTTCAAAGAAAAAAATCGATACTTAACCTGAGTTATTTGATATTTACTGATTAAGTGAACCAGAAGCAGATGGTGTACCTTTGGATAAGTTGTTCATCAGATGGCAAATTATGTAACTCAAGAGAGGAGAGACAGGTAAAGACAGGTCAGCAGGAATCAGATTATACAAGACTTACTTGGAAAATTGCTGAGTCCTTCTACAGCATGCCTTTATATGTTTCGTACAACAGAGGACATGATTCATGTACACAGGGATGTAGGTAGTCATATTTAGAGAAACACCAAATCACAAAATCTCATCTAGGCAAATATGTTCTTCACCATTTCTCAAACAGAAGGTGCAGGTCATATTGTTAAATATTTTATAAAAAGTTCACTCTGAAGTACCAAAGACAATTGAACCAGAAACTAAGTTTTTTCAAAAAGTTTTTTAAAATTAGAGGTGTAGGGGTATGATACCTGTGGGGCAAATGTATCCTATGCCATAGTTGGACAAAATATTCCATATTAGCTAAAAAGTAAAGATAATGCATATGGAATGATTGATTTAAAAAGTTTTATCTTCCAAGACATGCAGAGATCTGGTAGGTGTCTGGTATAACAGGGTATAAATCTTTGTGGTTCTTGTCAGTAAATTGATCAACAGGTGATCGATTGGATCAGTGGATAAAGATCAGATTCTCAAAATCAGCAATCAACAACTCATGAAAAACTTAGAACAGATATCAGTGCTGCATTGACCTTGAAATCCTCTGATGGGAGAAGGTCATTGTTTGACACCTACTTACAGACTTTACAAGCCTATGATGAAGCATTGCCTCAGCATCTAAGGAAAATGTCACAAACATTTATGAAGAGCTGAATGTATTTTTTTATATTGGTTGATATATTGAAATTAAAAATATGATAAAGGTCAAGGTCACAATGGCAATTTCACTGAAGACGTAGAGACTTTTTAGATGTTTTGTCTCTGTAATTTGCAGGATTGTCACATCTGATGAGAAAGGTCAAGGGACCTTCAGAGAAATTACACTGAAACATGGTAATCGGTAAAATGTGTATCAGATGAAAGGGGGGGGGGGGGGTATGAATAAACCATGGAATTTTAATAAACTGTATGGTCAATTTGGCAATATATAATTACCATCAGTAAGGTAGATGGGGGTGTTAAAATGAAAATTTAATGTTTGTATGTTGGCTTAACCTTGCTGTACCTGTAATGTACTTGTAATATGCCTGTCTGCATTAATCTCTCAAGGGAAAAAAAATGAATGATTTCTTCCCATTTTTGTTTTTCAACTTTTACCATTGGAATTTAATCATCAGCTTCTTTAGAGAGTGGATAAGTTTTTCTCAAATTCGATATTTTAGTGATTCAAGAATAAATTACTGGTTAAGTAATTAACAAATCGTAAGTGATGTAATTTAAAACTTTTTGCTTGGGATGCTTCAGAAACTGACTGAGCAACTTTCAGATTATGGGGTTTCAGCTAGGTTTCTAAACATTGAGTCAAATCTATAATAATTTTTAGACAAATTTTGAAAAAAAAATATGTTGAAGCTGTCAATATTGTCTTTGTAGCAGTATTTACAGGTTGTGGTGTTGGTGATGTATTCTTGATTGAGGAAAAAAGTGGTAGCAGAGACTAAGGCTAAAAATCAATAGACGGCAGTAAACCTGCTGAAAGTGTGTATGTGTAGAAGGAATTCAGTGCTGCCAAGAATGATCAGTTAGGGTTTTCATCTAGAAAAAAAGGTTGAAAAATAGTTCGGGCTGAGGGAAATTATACTTTATTCGTTCATACCAGTACAGTTGTGGCTGGATTTATAATTGTAAACCTGTTTATGTAATGGAACCATGAAAAAAAAGTATGGTGCTTGAAAGGTGTGCAGTCTAAGCCAAAGCAAATAATATCATTAATTGAAATTTTCCAAAGTACTTATTTATCTCACAATGTTAAATTACTTAATAATACACACCACTGTCCAATCTTTGATGTGTGTATATTGTGTAATTCCTAGATTTCCCAGATTTGTCCAATCTTCATATTTTGATGACATTTGGTAGTCCGTTTGAAATTATAATTCATATATGAATTTCTGTACTAAATATTTTCCTCATTTTTGAATAAATTATAAAATGATATAGTTTCAGACCAAGATATAATGTGAAAAAATTCAATAATTGTTTATTGCCAGCTGTTACATTTCTTCCTCTAATGAGAATGCAAAAGAAAGGAATTACTTGATTGTTAGTGGCACTAAGGTTATTGGCCTATATTCTAACACATACTATGATTCATGGTGGCATTCAACTTCCTTTGTCTGTATTTAAGGATGAGACATAGATCTTTTTTTTTCCCCCCCAAAACAAGATTTTAAAAATGCTTTGTAGCATGTAAATACATTTAACAGTTAACAATAATTCAGATTTAAAGGGAGAAATATTGATTTTGTTTAGCTCATGCGTAGGTGTCTCTGTGCGATGCCCTGCTGAAAGCAGGCGGTTTTGCAGAGGGTTTACAGTCTCCATGTTAAACTCAATGAATTATATCCACAACACTGTATACCTGGTTTTCTTTGCAAGAATTGTCTTATATTTAGAACCCTTCCCTTGTAGGCCTTTACTGCGAACTTTCGAATTGGAAGGAATAATTTTTTTTCTCCTCTCACTTTTTGAATGTGAAGGTTGAATCTCCAGACCAAAAGAAGTTGCTGGAGGGCTGCCTATGCATGTGTAGAATCACGTTGTAACATGCTTACTAGTGCGTGGTTGTGTTTAGAGATGGGGGCAGGTCATGAACTGTAACTGTGTTTTGAGAAAAATAAAGATGAACATGAAAAAAAGCAGCATTCCAATTCTATAGCACATAGAGCTTTATATTAACAAACAAGATCTTTTACATATTAATTTTAAAAATATATACAAAATAATTATAATAAATGAAATTGGTTTATTAACTATGATGTAAGAAACAAAACATTTGATGATTTTTTTTCCTTGCATACATGTTGATTTAGTATTGACATGGATTTACTGTCTTGATCACATTTTATGATATATGTCTCAATACCATATTGATTCATTAATTTATTTCACATTTTTCTGTGATGTCAATTTTTCAAACATTTATTCATTCTTCTTTACTGTAAACCAACTTTTATTTACATCCGAGAAATATCCACGAGTTTTGCAACAATCTTTTACTCGCGAATATTTCTCATCGCAAATCAATTATTCCCCTATGTATTTATGTAGACTGCTGTCTTGGTCGCAAAAATTAGTAGTTGCAGATGGATTTCAAAGTGAAGAATCGCGAATAAAAGATGACGCGAATAATTGTAGGTTTACAGTATTTGATGAGAATGTACTCCTATTCACAGATGCTAGCATACCTATTTCTTAAAATGTTCTGATTAAATGTGAAGATATATTTTGTCATTCAGCAATTTATACTTTTTATGTTTCATTTCTTGATTCTTCAAATGATTATTTATTAATTGAAATGTTTTATTATTACAGGGGTTTGTAAATTCAGGGTATGGAGTAAATGGTATAGCACACGTAAGTAATCTTATAGATTCTTTTCTCACTTGTATAAGGCAAATGACTTGTACAATAGAGCTAGGATGATACAGATATCGTGTGATACAAAATGTATCATGATACAGTAACAGCAAAACAAAATACATTACAATGCTTTTTTTAATGTCTAAAGTTCTGCGCAATTCTGAGTAAATTACATTAGGAATGTTAAGGCTATTAAAAAGAGATATAGTGTACTTATCTTTGAACAGAACACTTAATAGGATTTGATATTTGACTTGATTTATCATTAGAAACACATATTGCAGAAGCTTGTATCATGCTATGTCCCAGCTCTGAATTGTACTGCCTTAGGTACTTTGCCTGATGCATTATGGAGGTTCACTTTTACTCTCTGCCCCTTATCAAATAACTAATCAAGGTTGTCATCGGCTCATTTTGTTATTGGGAATACCATCAGACTGTTACCAACTTTCATCCTTATAAACAAAATGTCTCAGAATGTTTTCAGATACAAGGTTGAGGCCATTCTAGTAAGGTTGGGGTCTTTGCTATGTTGATGCTTCAAACAAGTAACTTGGACATTCAAGTACATTGTAGATGTTCTAGAGGTCAAATGTTGAGGCCATGCTGGAAGGTCAAGTATGGGGTCGCTTAAAAAGAACAAAGGTCAGGGTCATGGTTATGCTGACACCTCAAACATGTTCAATGCTCAGAGTAACTTGATGCTTCATATATAGTGTACATTTTCTATAGTTCTTTAGTCTCTAGTTTCTCAAACAAATTCAATGCACAGAGTAACTTAAAGTACTATGTACAGTTTAGATGTTCTAGAGGTCAAAGGTTGAGGCCATGCTGGAAGGTTAAGTTTAGGGTCTTGCTTGAAAAAACAAGGGTCAGTGTCATGGTTATGCTGACACCTCAAACAAGTTCAAGAATTAAAGTAACTTGCAGCTTAATGTACATTATATATATGTTCTTAGGTCAAAGTGTTGAGGCCATGCTAGAAAATCAAGATTAGGTCATGCTTGCAAGATCAAAGGTTATGGTCGTGATTATGTTGTCTTCTCAAACAAATTCAAGGCTCAGAGTAACTTGGTTATTTATGTACATTTTTTCATATTCTAAGGTCAGAGGTTGAGGCCATGCTTGAAGGTCAAGTTTGGGGTCATGCTTGCAAAATCAATGGTCAGGGTCATTGTTATGTTGACACTGCAAACATGATCAAGCTTCAAAGAAACTTGACAGTTAATTTAGAGTGTACATGTTTTACATTAGGAAGATTAGGGGTTGTGTTTTTGGTAGGGTAGTATATTTCTTTTTCACATATACTCTTAATTTTTTTGTAAATCCACCTTTGAAGTATTTACAGTTTTATATTGGTGTAATATCTATAGAAATAAAATTCTCACAGTGTTTCAAAGTCATAAACAAAATACTGTTGGAACTATTTTGTAAAATAATTTAATGTTGCTGTTAGAAGACTTTATTGATAAGATCATTACTGGTCTTCCTTTATCTAGAAAATATGTCACTTTTTTTTGTTTGTTTCCTGAGGTCATTGGAAAAGTGTGCCAAGTCTTCATCATCTTTGCCTAACAACCTCTTGTCCTATATTTTACTTTACCATCTCTTGTTAAATGCTGTTTGTATGAAGGTTAACAGTCAGTTGATGTAGGTTTTCCTGTCTTATTATAGAACCTGTTCCAAAGTTTGACACAGAATAATATAGTGTACATCTGTTGCTTAAAATTACTTCAAAATACCAAAAAACTATAATCTTTTTTCTGAAGACTGAGAAGTAGGATTAGAGTTCAAGGTTATGACCTTTCCCTCATATGTGGATATAGGGTACAAGTCTATTGAATGTGTTTATTTCTGTAGTTCAGCAATCAGAGTATCCAACTTGTCAGTTAAAAAAAACAGAAAGCTTTTTGAAAAATCTACTACTGAAATTTTTGCCCCAATTTTATATTTGCTCTTTTTGCCTTTTTGCTTGTGGGCTTATTTAAAAAGAGGTTGAATTCAAAGAAGACTGCATTATCTTCTTAAATAACACGACTGTGTCTGGATGAATTTAAAAAAGAGGCAAATTTACCAGTATGATAGGGCGAAAATAACACGGGGTAAAAATAACCCTGTATACAATATGTGCTTGCATAGATTTAAATTGTAGTAAAAACTAATCTAACTTTCTCCAAAATGTAGCCAGGTTATTATGGCATGTTTCTTTAAAAAAAAAATTCTTTAGCAAGACGGGCAATTCCCTCCCACATTAACCCCCTGGATACAACATGTCTTTACAAGTGGTAATATTGTAGATGTAAAAAGACATGAGAGATAAGCTAGAAGAATTTATCAATCACTGCTCTGTGGACAGCCAATCTGAAAAAAAATGAACCCTTTGTTTTTTAATGATTTTCACTGTAGGGCAAACATGGTATCTCTAAAAATAATTGCCCATAAGCCAGCCTTTGATTGGAAATTTCCAAATTGAAGCAAGAGACTATTCTTAAAAAAAATTTAGGGAGTACTGTGGGTCTGTAGATAATGTGTATAGCTTTACTATGATTTCCTTTTGCACTGCTTCAACTTCTTTGTTGTAGATGTGCTCTGGTCATTTGGCAAACTTGGTTAAAAATGCAATATTTTCATAGTACATGTGTATGCAGACAATAAAGTCAAGGGGATGGTAGATTTCTAACATGTCTTTACCTATCTACTTTATAAGACAGGGCCCAGTTGGAATTATTCCAATGGATGAGAATTTGTTTTTGCTCACATTATCTTATTGTTTCCTCGTGTTGAAAATGGTGTGGTATTTCAATTATGCATTGAGGTCATACTTGATGTTATAATCCTTGTTTACAAATCTATTGGTTTTTAAAATTCCATGCTCATGACCCTTTACTTTCTGGAAAAATAGATTTTTACTGTACAAGTACTTTTTAGCTCACCTGAGCTGAAAGCTCTCGCTTTTCTGATCACCCATTGTACAGCATCCATTTGTATGTCTGTCCATCAGTCTGTAAACTTTTCACATTTTTAACTTCTTTTCAAGAACCACTGGGCCAATTTTAACCAAAGTTGGTTAAAAGCATCCCTGTGTGTAAAAGAGATTCTAAATTGTTAAAATGAAAGGTGGTGTCATTAAAAAATCTTTTTCTCGAGCAGCACTGACCCAGAAAAGTTGAAACGTGGGAGCTTCTAAATTGTTGAAATCATGTCCCTCAGGGGTAGGGTGGGGCTACAATAGGGGATCAAAGTTTTACATTGAAATATTTATTGGAAAAATTTTCAAAAAAATTATTTTCAAGGACCATTGGACCAGAAAACATGAAACTTAAGTGAAAGCTTACTAAAGTAGTGTAGATTGCAAATTGTTCAGATCATGGTCTTAGGGGATAGGTTGGGGTCACAATAGGGATTATATAGAGAAAAATCTTTAAAACTCCTCAAGAATAACAAAGCCATGGTTAATCATATTACTGAAGAAGCATCCTCTGGTAGTATAGAATCATTTTTTTTATCAAATCAGTGCCACTCTATTTAGGATGGGGCCACAAAAAGCGATCAAAATTTTACATTGGAGTATATGTTGATCTGATGCAGAACAGCAGGGCCAAAGTGACTCAGCTGAGCATTATGGCCCATGGGCCTCTTCTTTTCGCATATTATTAATTCAGCTATGTATGAGGTCACAAATTTTCTGTGGAAATGACATAAACTCCTTATGTTGAAACAAAGCTAAAGCACAAATTTATTTTACATATGTTTGGAATTTTTCATGTATATCTGTTCATTTTGTTGTCAGCTGAAGAATTGTTGCTTTCTTCTGAATTTTGCATCAATCAGTGAATCCCTGTTGCTTTTGACTTCCTAAACCTTGAACCCATTTATTTGAGTAAATCACTTGAATAGATGGAGCCATATTATGTCAAACTGGTGTCATAGACTATGAAATACTCAACTGGTAACCAAGTAGGATGGGCATACTTATAGATACAGTTTGAAAAAGATTCGTTTTATGCTTAAATGTGAATTTCTTTTTTATATGATTCAAAGAATTAAGTGAAGGTGACATTGTAGTAATGTAACTTTTGGGGGTTTTGGATGACGTACCCATTATTGATGCTACAACAGGTGAATGTTCATTGAACAACAGTGAGGGATTTTAAAGTTAGGGTACATAATGATTACTGTCTATGAAATATGTAGGTCAAAGCCTTCCACTGACAATAGATACAGTACAAGTATATTTTCTGTAAGTAAACATTGTCAAACGGAGAACTGAATAGATAAATCTGTTCCTCTCTCTGTTGTGTACCTCTGCAGTAAATCTGTTCCATGGCCTAAAACTGTTCTTTTGCAATGGCAGTCAGATAGGTCAAAAAATCATTTGAGAGAAAAGGGCATAGAACAATAAACCGTCTATCTTTGTCAATTATGATCTATGACATCAGTTTTGCAAAATCATTCTTGTCAGTGTAATAATTCCGTGCATCCTCAAGTTTACCATGGAAAGTGAGATAACTCTCCAAAAATCTTTGGTTATTTTTTCCTTCATAAAAATTATCAGAAGTTGGATTTCAATGATTGAAGGTGAAGAATTTGCCCAGGTATACTGATTACCCAGTGTCTGGATGGAATAATTGACTGAGCTTTGCATAGATAAACACAAGTTGGTGGAACTTGGGACAAGCCACTGTACTCCCTGTGTGTGACGTGTGTGTAAATTCCACCCTGGTCTGTTTGTTTAGCAAGATCTATTGATTTTTAATGACAGACCTCTGGATACAATGTAGCATTTTTAGAGAAACATCATCCATTTAACCAGATTTATTCAAGCACTTACCAATTTTTTTTTCTCCTTAAATCTAGATTTTTCTAGAAATTCTGAGATTAATTGCTTTACATTTGCATGTAAGCTTCTGTCACAGAAGAGCTTGAACTTTCTTATTGATTGTCTATTTGAGGTAAACAACTATATTTTTGCCATGGAGATGACTAGAAGAGATTCTGCACAAACATGTTGACATTCTGCAAGTGCCCGATTCTTGCCAGAGACTCGGTCACTCCCAATCAATAAAAGTGGCTGTTGTTTTCAGAAAACCTCCTCCCCTTTCTTTTGTAAATGCAAACTATTGATTGGTTGATTGACAGAGAATTGTCTTGAGTGAAATTTTTGTAGGTTAATATTTCATTGTCCTGTCTGTAAACTATATTAAAATGCTCTAGTTTTCTTGCTAAAGGCATTTCTAATCAACACATTGTGCTGTATATTGAAAAATTATATTTTCCATTTGTCAAACAATTGTACTTATTGAATTTTATATTATAAAGACTTTCAGTTATCATTTTCGTAAAACCAGCCCATTTTAGCTCACTTGAGCCAGATGCCGAGGTGAGGTTTTCTGATATAGGAACAATCTTTAAAAATCTTATCAAGATCAGGAGCTTGACAATTATTCATACAGGTAGTTTTCATATGACGTATAATTATATTCCCTCTTTAGTTATTCCTAGTTCTTTTCTGGGATTAACCAAATTTAAAGATGCATGGTTGGAATCTTTACAACATGAAAACAATGAATTAGAGGAGATTTTAATAAAAGTATATTTTTCAGTAAAACAATGTTTTCTTCACCTCAATGGCCAATATGACAAGTTTAAATTGCATGATTAAATAATGAAGGATCTGAGCATATATTATTGATCTCCAATATGATGACTAATGGGAAATAACTCTTGCTAAATTAATGTCTCTACCAGTATCTATTGATATGCAAGTGTTTGCATGAAGTTGTACATTCAAGTTTGTTAAAGTTATGACCCCTGAGGTTAGGGTTGGACTCCCCAAGGGTTAGGGTCCAACTCAACTGAGCATAAAAGTTTTGTATAACAATATATGGGAAAACCTTTCAAAAATTTTCTCAAGAGTAACAAGGCTAAAATTAGTCATATTGATATGCAAACATCTACATCTAGTGTTGACTAAGTTTATTCAAATCATGGTCCATGGATCTAAAATAGGGCCAGGTTAAAGGGTCAAATTTAGATTAGTCAAATCTATTGTAAAGAAACTTCATGTAGTGCAGATACTACATCATAACCCCCAGGGGCAAGAACAGGGCCACGATAGTTACATGAGAATATGTAGGAGAAGTCTTTTAAAATTATCTTTTCAACAGAGCTGGGTTACATTATAAGACATATTAATATGCAAGCATGCCATGTATTGTATCTATTTTTTTTTAAAGCATGGCCTCATGGAGGAACAAATTTATTATGCACAAATATTAAAAAATTGAAATACACAATAATATGAAGGTTCTGTAAAATTATAGAATTTAAGGTTGACTAAAATCTCTTGTTTGTAACCCAACTTATTCAGTTCTGTTGCAAGTCATGGATAGCTAACTACATAATAGTCACTGTAATGTTTTTTTAAATAAGAACATTCAAACACACATAAATAAAATATATTTTTACTTTCATTATATGTCAAAAATTCTATGGAAGTGTGCTCTTATTCACAATTCCTTAACCCAAGTCGTTATACATTGCACATAGTTTGAAAACATGTACAAGGGCAGTCAAAAAAAAGTTAAATGCAACCTTTTAGTTTTTATCCAAATTATGGAGTTGAATGTGCAATTATCGTCAGAATTCATTGAGAGACATTTTGCCTGTACTGATCTTCTCTTTTTTGTTTCTTTCCAGAATGCAGCAGCACCTAGTCCATTAGGTCAAATGAATCCTCAGGATGGTATACCTGGGGGGCCAATGCCACCAGGGTTTTTTCCTGTAAGTACATAAAAACATTATCATTTTTGGTCATGGTCATCTCACTGTTATCATCCATTGCTTGTGTCACAAGAAGGATAACTCTCATGGCCTCTTTTCATGTATTGAAAGGCTGTAAGAGTTACTTCCCTTCCATAAGACACTGGTTGATGCTCAAACACTGAATGAAGTTATGCATAACTACCTCTCTTTTTGTATTGAAATCAAACGTTACTCTGTTCAAGAAAACAAAGTGCATGTAAAGTTTTAAGTACTAACATGCAAGAAAAATAAGTGAACCTGAAGGCATATAAATAGCACCTCTTGCACCTAAAACTGCACTTTAGCGCACCCTGAAAGACAGGCTGTGTAAAGTTATTTATAACTGATGGAGTCTGTATATTATCTAGCCTGGAGCTTCACAACAGTCCCCCCACGCCCAGCCACCTCCTACCCACCCCATGATGGGACAGAATCAAGTGAGTAAATTCACTGCCGCACCAGTCGTTGTGCTACTCTGTGTATATCTATTTAGTCCTGTAGCTTTTCCTCTTTATTTACAATCACCAGATTTACTTTCTAGATCTACCAGTGCATTTATATCTGGGTGATTTTATTTTTTTGTGTGTCCCCAATTTTCTTTTCTAGATAATGTCCCTGTTTAGAATTTTAAGTACAGCAAGGAAAGGAGATTGAACTGAACCAAAACAATTTCTTTTTTTTTTTTTAAACTGCTTTTATGAAACTCTCACGCATTTGAAAATATAAATAAATTTAATGTTGTTTTGTATTTGTACTATTGATTAAATTATTCATTTTTAATTTCTTCACAAAACATTCCATCTAATTGTATGTCATATTAATCAGGAGATTTAACCACTTAGACAAAGTCCTGACTTGTTTGTAGTATTAACCCTATATTACTATTTTCCTTTGCTTATAAGCTTCTGCTAAAGCAATTTATAAATGTTGTCTGTACTCATTCCAAACTAACACAACAAATGGGAAGTAACTCTCTACGGCTTTTTTAACCAATCACAGGACATGTTCATTTTCAGGAAACTTTGAAATAAAGGAGTAATACATCAAATGTTTGTTTTTGTTTATTTCTTATAAAGCGTGAAGAAAAATTAACAAAGAAAGACAACTCCAGATGGCTACTTTTGTGAAATTTGATTAAAGAGCAGACAACTCTTGAATTCTTGTCCGTTGCAAGAAGGATAACTAAAATCTCCATAAATAACAACTCCATTTTGTGCACAGTGGGGAAGATGGTAAATTGATTTGGAAAGTAATTGAATATCTGGGGGAAGAAAGGTAATTGAACATTGCAGAAGAAAAGTTGACTTGGCTGCAGCGATCAAATTTAGTTTATCAACATCCTTTTAAGTTGGGTGCCAAAGGGAAATAGAAGGCTTCATTTGTGTTATAGACATGATCCTGAAACCCTGTGTTGATTAGAAGAAAAGAGGGACATTGAGAAAATAAATGTATACCAATTATCAGAGGGTGTTTAGGCTTCAAAGACACTCAAAATAAAGTGTAATTGGATTTGAGTTTGTTTGCATAGGCCTTACCGAAACCAATTAATTGAAAATAATGGGGAGGAAGTTTTGAGTAAATATTTTCACAAGAGTGTATTTTCCAATGCATTTTGGCGATGACAAATTGAAAGCAGAAAATTGTAAAACTTGTAGAAAAAAGAATTCAGAGAGTAGAGTTGTTAGACTACAAAGATATGAAAAGGAGGATGGATAAATTGCAGGAAATTAGTCTTGAAAGTCCATTAGCATAACTAAATTGAAGGCTGCTTTAAATTATTGCTTTGAACAAGAGAAATAAGTTAGACCTTCTGGGTTGGTGAGAGATTAAGACTGGGAAACCCAATGTGCTATTGCATTTTCAAGGGTTCCCAGGAATGTTTCATTAGGCAGTTCTAGTTGCAAAGAGATGAATAGGAAAGAAAATGAAATTTTGAAATCGATCATTACACACAACCTAGTAATCAGCTCTCAAAGAAGGGGTTGTTAATATTGCTCAAGGTTTATCAATGTCTGAAATTCTATAGTATTCAGTTAAAAAAAAAGGAACAGGTATTTTTTTTTTCTCCAATAAAAAAAACGGGGAAATTAATCCCATAAAATATAAAAACTTGTTATTTGATAATAAACATCAAATTAATGAAGTGAGGTATTGACTTACCTTGTAATAGGAAAATGGCCTGAATTCCGTTTGATTTGCGATCACAAGCCTGTGAAGTCATCTGAAACAGGGGAAACACATATGGAGTAAATGAACTGTTATGAATAAATCATCTGATTCAATGAAAAGATGCCTTCATTGGAAAAGAGATAAAAGCTATTTTAGGAGTTGTTAATTAGAAGTATGGAAGTTGCTTTAAACACGATAGGATAGATTTAGGAGTAAAGTTTCAACTAGGAATGGCAATAAAAAGAAACTTTGAAAATTAATGGTTCAGTTAGATAAGTAAAGGCAACTAAGCAATGTAAAGACAAGATAACTGAATAGTTTAGTTAAATACCTTCAAATAACTATCTCCCCAAGTCAAGATTACTAAATATTTGCTTAAAAATTAACAAACTAAATTGACTAAATTATAGAGGATATAACGTCCAAACTTTGATGAAGGGAAAAAGGTTCAAAATGTAAAAATGTAAATTGATGAGATAATTTTAAGAGAATTTTTTAAGAAATGTTTGATTTTGTGGAGTAACTTTATTGTAGTAGACACATGCTAAGGGAATATTTAGAACAGTCAGGTATAAATAATAACGAAAAGACAAAGCATAAATAATCATGGAGAATAGACATTGATAGGTTTTGCCTGGACTTGGAGAAACACCATCTGTCAACATTCTTTAATTAACTGTTGTCAATTAAGCCTCTTCAGAACTCATTTTAAATATTCAGTAAGTTCTGTATCAAAAGGGGGAAAATAAAAAGGAAAGAATTTAGTTCCAATGCTTGACAAAACAAAAAATTACTATCAAAAAATGGTAATTTGAATGAGTCGCTTTAAATTGTGTTAATTTACTGATTTCTTGTCTTAGTCAAACATGTTCTAATGGCAAGAGAAACTGGATAGTCCTCTGAAAGGATAGTCATGAAAACTTTTTAGTTGTTTAGTTGATGAACAGTACATTTTTTTAAACAAATTTTCCTTGTAAGAACTACAGTTGTGTGACAGTTTGCCATATATTGTTCTATTGCCATTATTTTGTTATAGCCCAAAGAGGAAAGAGAATTTGAAACTACCATTAGTTTAAATTTCATGCTATTATGAGTTAATGACCCTCTTCTTTTCAAAGTGTTTATAAGTGGCTTGAAACTCTAAAGACGTATTGTAAGAGGAGAAATATGATTAAAAAAAATTATCTGTGTATATAATTTATGTATGGAATATAAAATGTCAGGAACCTTCAAAGTTCTCCCATTACATGATGACACTGACAATTTCAAGGGAAATGAAATACTATAACTACAATTAAAACCTCATGCATATTCATATAAATCAAGGGTGTCATTGATTGGTTAAAAGTGAGGCACATACATAGACTAATGCATTTATAATAGTGAAGGAAACAGAACTGTTATTATTATAGGTCGATTGGAATAACTAGAAAAAAAGAATGTAAATAAGAAAGAATATGATAAAATTGTTGGAAGATGGAGGATTTGAATTAAAACAATGTCTATCTAGCAGGAAGAAATTCAGTTTTCCAGTACTGGTAATTGCTTTAGCAAGACCCTGAGTCTACCTGTCCTTTAGGGATATGTTATTTAACACATAGCTGAAACTATTTTGGTTTGTAATTAAAGGACATTAGTCTTAGAGCCATCTTTGTCTGTAAGGGTGACAGTGCTAGATACCAGATTTAATAACAGTCAGTTACTGTCTCCATATAGTGACATAGTTTAATGGATAATGAAACTGGTGTTTACCATCTTTATTTAGGCAACAAAATCTGTCCAGTAATGGAGATTGAAAACCATGTACACTATGCTATCTTCATACAGATTATGGATCTGTTTCCTTGGGGAGTGGTGGGGGGGGGTCATTTTGTTTGGCCTTTGTGATTTTGATATTTCTCCTGGATAACGATCTATCAGAAGTGACCCTTCAAAAAATAAATCATATCTTATTGCCTCAATTTTTTAAGGAAATCACTGTAAAAGATAAAGAAGGCACAAAACAACCGTGGAAGTGGAATGGAAAAAGGGGGGTTGGGGGGCTTGGTGGAGTATATCATTATACTCAAACTCATTGATAGAACTTAAAGATGCAAAGAAATGAAAAACAAACAAATCAGAACATTGATAAATGTATAATGGAAGAAAGAGGGAGGATAAAATTTTCTAGGGAACCAGCAAGTAAAATAAACCCCTTGTAAGAGTTCTGTCTCTCTAGGGGAGCATGATACATCGTCAGGATGTCTTCTAACAGAACAGCTTTTTCACTAGTAAATCACACTATCATCCCACATCTAGGGGTGTTGCAATGAAATATTAGGTATTACGAAGATAACTGTCAGAGAGACCAGTGATGATTACTAATAGTGAAGATCCCTTTCATTAAATGAATGACTTGATTTATGGCATCCACTCAGTTTGTACCTATATCATGCTGTTCTGTTTTGGTACATTTCATTTGCAATACATATAATGAATCCTGGAGTAATTTATTAGTCTACTGCAGCATGCCCCAGAATAGAATTAGATCTAAATGAGAAACTACACAAAATAGGAGAAAATAAATTGGAAATCTTACCTCTTTTAGCTCCAGTAATTAAATGCTATTGAAAACGATCATGTCTTTTTTTTTGTACTCTCATGGTTAAAAATCCTCCTGATGTTTAACTTCATTTCCATTGCATAATCACTCTTTTGCTAAATTTCAGAATATATCACACATTTTCCCGAAATTGTACACTTCTGAAATGGTGTTCCTTCTCACTGCTTGTACAGATAACATCTAGTGGTTTCTCCTTTGACAAGGGTGTATGATTATAGATGATTTCTTGTTCACATAATCCAAAATGTAGAGTATCGCATTGCTCTCTCAAAGGAATGCATTTTTTCATTAAATTTCATGGTAAATTTGATGAAAGCCTGCTCTGGGATCTTGATGAATTGAAATCAAGCCTCCTTCACGCCAATAAACTTAATGAGCCACTCAGTAGACCTAGTATTGCTGGTTGTGAATCTTATTCAGGTCCTCTCCCAAAACACAAAAAGATGGGATGTTTTGTCAGCATGGAATGGGTCCGTTTGGGTTGGCTGTCTCTTCAATGGCTTTTGTCTTCTATGATCAGTTTGGTGGATAATTGCTGAAATATTCATGTCAGACTTGTCAGTAAAGCAGAACATAATTAATCCTTTGGCGTGCTGGGGTTTCTCTGTGCTGAGCCTGTAAAATGAGTGGACTTAAGGTTTACACACTCAATAAGAGTCATTTCAAACCTACGTTTGTGCAGAGGCTGCAAATGAGTTGGAATCAAAAGAAGCAGAAAAAAAAAACAGGGAAATGCTATTTGTGACAAATGTATCAATTTCAGTGTATAATCCTTTGAAGTTTTGCCCTCTCTGGGAGAAAAGTTCTCTTTATCAACATCTTCAGAGCTAAAACACATATATAAGCTGGAAACCAATATACAGCATTATAGATATTATTGACCATTCCCTAAGGGATTTCCCTGAGGATCTCCCACACTGAAGAGTATGGCTTTGCATGTTACTTGTGATTATATTGTCTGTGTGTTTGGTTCGCCTCTATTTTTTTCTTTTATTATGCCACTATCAAAGTACCAAGTTATAATCAAATGGTTTTTGAAGAGATTTGCATCCTTATTGCTATCTTGAAGCAAACTCATCAAGAATATCAATTTGGCCAGATGAATACACAGAGAATGAGCTGCTGTGCTAGGAGTTATTAGCTTTCAAGATTTGGTTGCCATTAAATTTATGTCTCAATGAAGCAGCTGCAATAACCATTGCCTGAAGACCCACTCCGTTTGGTAGAGGTATTACAATGTTTATCTCTCTTTGGCACACTGAAGTGTGTTTGAAAGTCACTAAAAAGTTGTCTGCTCTTATCTCCATGCCTATGACATGAAGGCATTAGCAAATAAAAAGGATGGAAAATGATATATTTGTGCCCCATCTCAACCATTCCCACTAACTATTCTACAATCTGGAATTTGCTGACTTATCTTAGCAGTTCAAACAGTAAAAACAATTTCTTCTTTTATCAGAGTAAGCCTATTTAGGTTTTACTTCTGTAATTAACACAGAGCAAATAAATTTCTGGATAAATTGCTTACCTGAGTGAAGACGGAAAAATTGTAATCCCTGGTTTCCAAGCACCATCCATATTTCACTTCAGAACTGTTGTTGCCTTGGAAACACTCATGACCTGCCAAGGACAAAAGCACATTACAATTCTCAGTTGTACCGTGTGTATTTTGAGTATAATGAGCCTAAGTACATGGAGAAATGGTCCTGATAGAAACTGAAGACTGTTGTTTGTGGGAAGATATCCTCACAAATGTCACGATCTTGATCTGTCTGACTAGCCTCCATATAAACGGCAGTAATTGCATAGTTAAGGACACAAGATACATATGCCATTGAGACTAAGACTAACTCGGCTGTGAGAGAGATTCATATCAAATTTTCATTACTGAACATCCATAAATTTCTAAGCTTTTCATAAATGCGTAATTCAGAATATTAAAGGAGTTTTCGTGATTAAATAGTGAGGCTTGAATGTCAGTTTTATTAAAAGATGTTATCAATTCAGAACTATACAAACATATGTCATTATAGGGCAGATAGAATGAACGCTTTGATTATTAAATTACATTGTCAAACAATATTAAGTTTTTTTTTCTTTTTTTACAACCATAATTATGGGAAATTTTCGTTTTTATCCTTTAATTCTCTTCCTTGTGTATGCTAAAATTGAAGTGTTGTTGAAATAGGGTTTATCTTATTGAAGCGAGAATTACTTGATAAAAATTTTGTGACAACAAAATATTGGATTTGAATTTAGTCAAAGATTTGATTTCCCAGTAATGTGTCTGTATTTTAAAAATCTAATTTCAGAATTGATTGCTTTGGCTGAGTTTTGATGAATGTTATCTTCTGCTTGTCTTCACACAATGAAAAGAACTCCCTTCTATCTATGCCTAGTATCTTTTCTGTGTGGTTTTAATGGAAATGGGAAACTGGAGAACTTTCAAAGAACATTATTTAGTCATAATTTTCAGAGGATAACAGAACTTCAAGTCTTTTCTAAGGCTTTCAACTGCAAAATCCGGCACACCATGACTTATAGGACTGAATGTAAACGAAATGCAGAAATTCTCCACTGAAATTAAACATAACTTGTCCAAAGGGAAAAAATCTTGGAAAAGCTTTTATGAAATTAAGATTAAAATAGAGATTTTAGAAGTATTGGCATTTTCATCAAGAAGTTTGACTACAAATAATTTAACACATCTGTGTTAATTTGAATGCTGTGACTATTACCGGTACCCTAGTTTGAACAAGAATCTGTTGTATTTTTTTTTCTCTCAATGATATAGGCCATTAATTAAACATTCTGTCTTTAATAGTTATTTAGGCTTTGATTGAAAATAATCCTTTGCTTGTTCTACGAAAAATATCCTTTGCTTGTCCATGCGAAGGAAACAGATGCATTTCGTGTTGTATCATTGATATCTGTTACCAAAGCTGTGCATTCAGATGTATTTTTTAGTGAAACAAGTTGTATTATTTTCCTAACAAAACATGAAAATAGGACAAAAGCTGCCAAACAGAGTAGTATAGAATATAAGCTTACCAGATCCACATAATGGATTTGCCGGTTTTATGCTTCTCAAGGTGCAGATGGTAAATTTCCTCTCTTCCAATCTGAGACACATATACTGTAAAGATTTTAATCTGAAATGCACCAAGAAGTCCACCACTGAATCCATTGATAATATAACACTCTCAAAGAGTGGCTAAGTATGCTATATAGAGGAAGCCATTTGATTGATGAGCAAAAGATTGTCTTAATCTTCCTTGTGTATGATACAGGTGATCTGATAAATTCATTCCCCAAAGTTTTATAAACTTCTAAAAACCTGCCGCAAGACAGTGCAGGTTATTGTTTTGTGATATTAAAATGTAAATGAATAGTTATTTACATTAATTAAAACTCATATAAGGTAGTCGTTATCATAAATTTTCTCGAGCAGGAAAATAATTATTCAATACATGCAACATAATTGTCATACTGTCTTTCATGTACAACTTGATTTTCAGAGATGACTTTCACATTTAGGAATTTTGGGCAATAAAGGAGTAAACCTGTTTGAGAATTTTCTGTGCTAGGAAATAAAAAGATAAAAACTTTCAAGAAATTTTATTTTTTCTTTAGCTATGTTAAGTGATTATGTTAATTGCTGTAAATTAAAATAAAAGATGCATGCCAATTAATATAAGGCATTTTATCAATGACACTGCAAAAAAGTGTTACTCGGTTTTTTTTTCCAGCAGGGTATTTACATCAGAGTTTCAAAATTGTCCTTTTGGTGGAAATAAATTATCATTTTCATTTTCAATTTATGTTTCCTATTTGAAATCATTCAAGTCAGTTCCATATGAATTCCTTTAGTTTTGTACAATGACAATTTTTTATCTCTTTACAGCCTTTTATGTCTCCCAGATACCCAGGTGGGCCGAGGGGCCCTGGGCCTGTTCGAATGCCGCCCAATCAAGTTGATTTCAATGTAAGTTTGATATCACATTCACACAGAGGCTATCTATCTGATATCATATACAGTATACCCTTGTTGCATACTTTTCCTTCACATCAACAAAAAATTCTTAAACATCTTACTATCATATAAAAATTAGAGTGTTTTTTTTATCAGTGTATATTTCAGAGAGGGATGTTATTCAAATTTTTTTGTGCAAATCTTTAAATTAGAAAAACTTGGAGATAAATAATTTTTAAATTCCATGTTCCTAGTGAAGACTTCACAGGGAAGCATGCCGAATTTTCAGCAGAGTTATGGTATCACATAAAGCCCTGAAATAATCCATCACTGATAAGTTGTAAGGTTCAATAGCAAAAGAACAGTGGGAGGGTTGCCGAGCAAAAATGTATGATATGTCATTTTATTTTTGCCATACTTTCTGGATGAGGCAACCCCAACTACTTTTTTGTTTGAACAGATGTATTTTACATGGTAGAACGAAAGATGGGTTATAAACATGGGGGGAGGTGGGGGGGGGGGGGGGGTCTGTACTGATTTAGCTGTATGACTGTTGTTTTCAGTCAAACAGGAATCAAGCAAAAAGCAGGCTTTGAAATGTTTTCAAATGAAGTAATTAAATTAGAGTAACTTCACAGTACATGTAAAAAGTAGTAAAAGATCATTATTTGTGTTTACAGCCACCAGGCAGTGGGTCAGGTCCAATAATGCCTAACAGTATGGAACCCAGGCCAGGTCAGTAAAGGTTAACTTACCGCACTTGTCCCAAAAAGCATCAGGGATCCTACAGGAATGAAATGTTTTACATATGGCAGACTCCTAGATTTTAATGTCTGGAATACAAAGTTCATTTTGCTTAAAGGGTTAAATAATTGATGACAACACCCACCTTCATACAAAGATCTCTTCATTAAAATTTCATCACAGATCTTACAAAACTTGACAGATGGCTTTCACTGCACCAGATATTATAAGTATAAATATTTCCAGAATACATAACATTTTAGCAATCATTCTCTCCTAACAACAGTTTTATTTGAATGCAGTGTTGACGCTTTTTGGGACAAGTACAGTGTATGTGATGTTAAATGTCTACAAAAATATTAATTATTAGATAAAACTGGCAATAACATTATTTTTTCCTCTTTCTTAATGCAGCAGACTTTGCTGGTAAGTTTTGTATAGTTTTAGAGAGAAACATTTGTTGCTTTCCTCCTGTATTTGATCATACAGTTAACTGAAGAGTTTCTCCAGATGTACCTCTGAGTGACATGGCATTGAATTATCCTGTAACCAATATTTTACCAAATCCTCTTCAAATGCATTTATCTGTGCTAACCCTAAGAAAAAACTCCACATACAGAAGTAGCATTGATCTTGGGTTTCTTTTCCTTATTCCTTTTTCAAAATTGCAAACAAAAAATTGGTTTCTATGTAATGTCTTGCACCTATTTGACATGGCACCAGGACAATTCAAGCTTGAAATGGTTCTGTCAGTAGCGTAATTGAAGTTCTATTGATCACAGTTGCTTGAAAAGTGTTTTACTGATATTCTAAGGGAACAGTTAATGAAGAAGTGTTCCATGTGATTTCCACCAGGATTTCAATGTTTGGAGGTTGTTTTACCTTTGAATTAGAAAGTGTACAGCTAACATGCTACATTGTTGCATAACAAATTGGACAGAGTTTCTACTCCCTAGCCATTAATCCCAGGAATTTAATTAGTGACAAACAGTTTGCAGTGCCATTAGCCTAACTAAAGATACAGAATCCCCACCCATCATCAAAGACGCGATAAAAAAATGTTATCTACCGACTCATGACAATGTAGGTTAAAAGCATGCTAAAATAGATCAGTGGATTTTATTCAAACTTGGCATAAATGAATAGGATGTAAAGGAAAAATTGATCATTGTTATTGTTTGATCGAGATAATTGGGACCTGAAATGGTTTCCATGGGCAGGAAAACAATTGTAAACTACGACAAAAAATGCAAGTTTGCATTTGTAATTAATCTTGAAAGTTATTACTTGGAAAATTCCTGAAAGTATGAACGGAAATTGTCTCTGTGGTTCTGTCGTCTCGGATTGAAAGTGTTATGGTGAGGCAATCTGCCCGAAGATTAGATAGACAAAACAACAAGCTTTGATAATTATAATGTTTGTGAATTTCTTATTGTTAGTTTGATGAATGTCACAAGCTTGTAGAAGGTACAATCAATAGAGGGGGATTATTTGAAATATTTGATTTATAGTCAGTCATATCATTGGCTTTGGAAATGAGTAGGATTACCTATTCAGTAATTTTGCTGGGTTGTAGATTTATATGGCTTGTTGGGCAGTTCTTAGCTTCCCTCTGGGCTAGTTAATAACTTGGAAAGGGAGATAATTGTAAACCTTCCTTCCTTCTTCTACTGGCCTTTTGTATTCAGATTTCTTTTGTGCAATGTATTTAAAAACATATATTTTCAAATTGGAGTAAGTTTAAACTCTATTAGGAGTGAGTTAATCAACAAAGATATGTAAGTTCACAGAGTATCTTAAAGAAAGACATGAAAATAAGATGTTCAGAATGCTCTAAGTTCTATGTCTGGTCCATTAATCCTACAACCTGTAAAACCTAACTCCAAGGGTATAACTAAAGGCAACAAAGCAACAGACTATATACATCAAAGATTGTTCTGATTATAAAGTGGATACAATACATTTGATCTAAAGTTCACTTCAGATAACTGGTAATGTGGTTTTCACATTTTGGGGGTAGACTAAGAAACAAGTATACTCCCAAGAGGCTGCCTCTGTATGAAAATGGCTCAAATTGTGAGACATTAGGGTAAATGTCTGTGGTAATGTAATTTTCTTCATTTTAAGTACAAGCAAATGGAAGCAAAGTGATTCATGGCTTCTAAAACACTGGCAGATTTTTGTTCAGGAACTGTGAAATGAACATTTTTCTTTTGGTTTATTATTTCATGTAGAAAAAAAAAAGAATCCCTGAGCAACTTACATGAAAAGAGTTTTTGAAGTACCAGGTTTATCTTTGGGTTATTGGAATTCTTGATTAGAAATATTTGCAATAATAAATGATTGATTATGTTCTTAAAGCACATTTTATGTGCATTTGAAGACCCAGGCAATTTATTTGTAAAGACAGAGTCCTATTTACCAGACAGGGGAATATTAACATTTTACTGAAAGACCAGCAGCACCTTAATACCAAAGCATTAATATATCTGGCATGACAAAACCAAAGGAGAAAATGTTCTTGGCAAACTGTTGGGTATATTATCTTCTCTGTTACAATCAGAAAGTGTGATGCAAAGTGCATTACCAGAAAACAGATGATACAATTAATTCTGAAATGGTACATGTCAAATGGCATATGTTCTGTCATTTATAGAAGCACACCACTTCATAACCTTCTGGTTTCTAAGAATTACAATCAAGCAGAAGAGAAAAGCAGATGTTTGACTTTAAAAAAAAAGGGGGGGTTACAGAAGGAATCCATTCTCCCCCCAGTGCTGGGGGGCATACAAAGGAATTATCCTCTCATATTATCCCTTCCGTTTTTGATGATTGAAAGAGTTTTAAAGGTCATGCCATTTAATATACATTACATCTATATTGAGGCTATGAGGCAAAGATTTTCTCAAAAAATTACGTTATGAAAAAAAAGGAAAACTTGTTTACCTGATGTTCCTTTTTAATCCGTCTTTGAATCGACTCCCCATGTTGTGTGTTCATGTCTCCTAGTTGTGTGAACCCCACATGCTGTAAGCTTTAGCAACACCACAAGCCCATTAGAAGCAATTAGGACCTTCTAAACCATCACAGGTTATATCCATTAGCCAACCAATTGGAGATTTTGAAGTCCTGTATAATCCCTGACAAATAAATTGCATTTCTTCACCTGCTTTCTCATCCAGTAGGAACTAGTCAAGATAGGGACCAGCCAAACTGACTGCCAGGGTAGATAATTCCAATCTCCAGTCCAAAAAATATTCTTCATCCCAATGATATATTTTTATTTTCTCTGAAAGAAATCAAAAGATAAGCTGGAACGTGTCATTTAGAGTATTCAATTATATCTGATTTGATAAGGTAATAGGGATATTTTGCAAGGTATTTCATATTTAATCCCTTATGGCACATTCCAACTCACTTCATATCCAGAGATAAAAAGTTTGATTACACTGGAATTCTCATTTCAAAGGCTAGTTTGTTGACCGAATCTAAATGTAAATGTAAGACACACAAAGTTTTTGTCATTCTCACGAGTTTACTTTGACCATTGCATCTAAGTAAAAGACAAGGGCTTCACCTGAGTTAGGCTAATTTTTTTAGGCATTGGGAATGGGAGTTTTAACAGGGTATATCCATCACATAACAAGGTTCCAGGAACACAAACAAGCAATTACACAAGTTTATCTAAATGTAAATACCCTGTCTGCCACTGTTTAACCATGGCTAGAGCTCTGTGTCAAAATTTAACATGGAAAAAAAAAAAAGCTTCTAATCAATTTTGCCACTTAAAGGAGAGGCTTTTTTCATGAAAGACAAACTTTGTCTTGTTCGCCTTCAATTACAGATTACACATTGCAGAAAAAAAACATTATAACTATATGTACTTGAAAAAAATCTCGTGTCTTCTCAGATGTAAACAGAGAAAAAGCCCCCCCTTAAAATCTTGGTTTCCAAATTATCCAGCACAACTAATTAAATTGTAGTATCTAAGCAAGAAAGAAATTGCCCTCTGATGGTGGCATTATGTACAAAGACAAGCTACACTTAAAGGCTTGGCTGTCAAAAGACATTCGGCTTTAATGACAAAAGATATATGATAGCACAGAGAACCCCTCATTTACTGTAAAAATAGCTCTCATCATCAGCTGTTAATTAATGAAACTTGTTTATGTCAATAAAAAGCACATTCAGGTTTCATAAAAGCATCTCTCTGTCTCTTCAGAGAATTAGAAAAAAAAAATCAGAAAAATTAAGAATTTGATATTAGAGATTCAGAGAGAATTTATGGCAGTGTCATTTACGTGGAGAAATTTACCTGTCGAGAGGTCCACTTACCCCAGACACACTGTGTCGTTTAATATCTCCGCACATATATTTTCCCACAAAAAAAAAGACCAGTAACTGCATTTAATCACACAATATTGTCAATTAGAAGCACGTTAACAAATAACAGGAACGAAAATGTAAACACAGAACTGTAACTTAGTGAGAGTCAATTTAATCGGGGAGACAAGCATTTGTTGTGAACTGGTACCCTACACTGTACCAAGTATTATTTTTTTTTGTCCAACACAACAATTCCAGCCTTCCTCCAATTTCATTATGACTTTGTGGAGATGGCATGCTGATCCCAGCTGATTAATTTCCTGCTAGGATAATAACAGAAAACGTTAAAGGTGCCCATTACTCTAACAACTTTGCATGCTTGTTACACTTTGCGTAAAAAAAAGGTTTTTTTTCTTCTTGTCAGAAACAAAATTGCCCATGTCTTCTTATGAAGTGTATAAGGTCTTTTATATCAAGATGGTTATTGAGCAAACAGCGTTCTTTTTTATGAAAATGTGATTTATCTCACTGTTTAAGCCTTTTTACTTTTTTTTTTTTTATGTTCACAGTATAATCACATTTTATTTTTGAATAGTACGAGGGAAATAGCAAGCTGTATATAATGACAGTGTTAGAAATTGTAAGCAGGAGAGCAGATATAAGAAGCTTGTATGCGTTTGAACTGAGGCAACAAATAATAAAGCAGAGTCCATTCCCCCACTTTGATGATTGCTGAAATTACTTCTGTCAATACCATGCTCCTAAAAATTATAATATAAATTGATTGTCAATTGGGCTTTCAATGGAAATCCCTTGTTTGGTTCTGACAATTTATACTTGACGGACAAAAAATTCTAAAGCAATTCTTCATTAAATTTTTTTTTTTATTTTGGTTTTCAAATGGAGGTGACTGTAAAGATTTCCAAGGTAATATCCATTAGGCCCTGGTTTTTATTCTCATTTGAATTCAATATTTATATCATAAAAATTGGATACTCACCTCCCCGAAAAAAAACTTTTCCATTAGAGAAAAAGTACTTGTCACTGGCATAGAATATTATTTCCACCCAGATTTATTGACATCAGAATTCCAATGAAAACATGTTGTATATCCAAGATTGATCACCATTTTTCACAAGCGGAGAAATAGAAGATGGTTCTGTAAAAAATACATGCATAAAACTAATATCCCTTTTGTGTTATCTGGGAGGTTTTTTTTAGCGTCTTGAAAGCTTGAACACCTATGTGTGCTGATGACAAGCCAGTGGAATTGATGATTACAGAAGTATATCCAGCCCCAATGGACACCTGCCCCCAAATCTCCTACCGTGCCTTCTGATGGCTGTTTGATAAATCACACACTTCAGAAAATTACTCAGTTTCCAGAATGACCGTATTTTTGCTTTGCTGAGGGGTTACTTTATCCCTGTGTAAACCATCGCTTACCTCCCATGTTTGTTTGTTTCTCGTTTCTTTACTGACAAATGCCAGGAGGATTCTGTTCCACCATTGACAAAAAAATGATTCCGATGTATCAGATGCAATCTCTGTGAAGACGTGGTTTAGTGCTTGTATTGCTTATCATAAACCCCACTTACCAAACACTCCATAATCATAAAAATAGAGAAAAGGCAGGCTCATTAAAATTCTAGTCATCTGAGAAAGACTCGACAAAGGTTGAATTTATCGACATGAGAAGAAACGTCACACTACATTTTTATGACTGAATGATCTATTATGTATTTACCAAGATCGTTTGTTGTTTTTAATCTTTTTTTTTATCTCCTTTCATGATACTTGAAATAGAAGAAACATGAGAGCTTATTAAACCTTGGTAACTAAGTGGCAATGTCGTTGCTGGGGGTAATGAAACGTTACCATAATATATCCCCCACTTCTCCTGCCATTAGCGAAGAGACCTATCAATGGGAAGTTTTTGTTTAGCTAAATTTCTCCAGGGCTATCTTATTCATCATCCATTTAATACTAATTATCTACTGCAGATGACAAAACTTTTCCACATTTGATAGTATATCCTTCAGTTTGCTTCATCTATATACACGCCTAGTACCAAACAATTGATAACATAGTGTAAAGCAGATCATTTGCGCGATTAATGTTGGTAGTTACTTTTATTAAATGATGTACGTGATTACATTATATGAACTTAATCATTTGAAAAGGAATTAGTATGGGAACCAAAAAAAAGTACTTGACATATTTTTAGGTCAAAGAGCTAAATCTGTAAGGACTTTCTTATTTTTTCAGGACATCCGAGCATGGGTCCAATGGGTCCTAGAATGGCACATGGAAGAATGCCAGGACCCATGAATCCAGTAAGTAGACTGAGTTTATGATTTAGTGGTGAGAAGAGCAAGCTTCAACTCATTAGGAGTGGATTAGAAACAGAATTATTAATCTAAAATCCTTTAGAGAAGGATAATTAAAGAAAGGTTACAAGTAAAAGATCTATTTCTCCAGCAGATACAGTAAGATAGGGGAAAAAGATGGAATTTTTAAAACTCAGAAATATTTAAATGAATTATTTTATATGAATTTATGAATTTTTACTTTCATTTCAGTATGATTCATTAAGTTATGGTGGTATGAGAGGTCCACCACCAAATAACATGGGTCCTGGAGGAATGCCTCCCATGTCAATGTAAGTCACTCAGTTCATTTCAAACGTGCAATGCATCACACAGAGGAAGGGAGATAATGAATACAAGACATTTCGCCCGTAATGACCTTTCATGCTGAGACGTTCCTCGAGTTTTGTACCAAAATCCCAATTTCCTCAAGTTTTGTACCAAAATCCCAATTTTTAAATTTACAAGCAATTACCTGTCAGTTAATTAACTATCCCTTATATTTTGAAATGTATTTATTATTGAAATTTTTAGTTCTGTAAATAAGTTAGCTGTGGTCATTTTACCTAATCATAATTATTCTCCTTGTTAATTGAGTTGCAAACATTGAAAACTACTGGTAAATCAAACACTTAATTATGATTGCTGAATAAACGTATATAATTATATGTCAGCTGTGCACGAGTTTCATAACCAAAAGTTCTACAAGCCGAATGGAATGAGTAAAATTGATGAAAAAACTTAAAATTAGTTCAACTGACATAAAGGCTCAATTAAGAGAGTTTTTCTGATCGAAGGGTGTCCAGCATCTGTAAACTTTTCACATTTTCTCCTTTTCTACTACCATTGGGCTAATTTCAACCAAACTTGCCACAAAGCATCCTTGGGTGAAGGGGATATAAGCTTGTTCAAATGAAGGGCTGTACTCTCTTTCAAGGGGAGATAAATAAGAATTAATGAACATTTCATGGCATCTTTAAAATATCTTCTTCACTAACGACTGGGCCAGAGAAGAAACTAATGTGAAGGCTTCAGTACATATACTGTACATATCATGACCCCTGAGTGTTAGTGTGGGGCCAATCAAAGTGTTACATAAGGAATATATACTAGGATTTTTTTATGCCCCGCCATGAATATGGCCGGGGCATATAGTGTTTGTCGTGTCCGTCTTCCATCCTTCCATCCTTCCGTCCTTACGTCTGTCCTTCCGTCACACTTTTCGTTTAGCTCTGTTCAAAGCTCAGTTTCAAAGAAACTATCCAAGATATTTTTATATATAGATAGATATTGATGAGAGCTATGCAGCTGCATCAACATTTTTTGACCTTGACCTTTCCTTTGACATTGACCTTACTTTTCTTAAATTAGTGTTTAGCTCAGTTTTAAGATACCATTCAAGATAGTGTAATCAAACTTCATATGTTGATACATACTGATGTAAGCTAATCAACTGCATCAACATTTTTTGACCTTGACCTTTCTTTTGACCTTGACCTCACTTTTCTTGAATTAGTGTTTAGCTCAGTTTTAATGAAACCATTCAAGATATTTGTAACAAACTTCATATGCTGATAAATACTGATGAGAGCTATTCAACTGCATCAATATTTTTAACCTTGACCTTTCCTTTGACCTTGACCTCACTTATCTTTAATAAGTTTTTAGCTCAGTTTTAAAGATACCATTCAAGATAGTGTTATTAAACTTCATATGCTGATACATACTGATGAGAGCTATTCAACTGCATCAATATTTTTTTGACCTTGACCTTTCCTTTGACCTTGACCTCACTTTTCTTAAATTAGTGTTTAGCTCAGTTTTAAAGATTCCATTCATAATATTTTTATCAAACTTCATATGCTTATACATACCGATGTAAGCTTTTCAACTGCATCAACAATTTTTTACCTTGACCTTTCCTTTGACCTTGACCTCACTTATCTTAAATTAGTGTCAAACTTCATATGCTGATACATACTGATGTAAGCTATTCAACCGCTTCAATATTTTTTCACCTTGACCTTTCCTTTGACCTTGACTTCACTTTTCTCAATTTGTGTTTAACTCAGTTTTAAAGAAACCATTCATAATATTTTTATCAAACTTCATATGCTAATACATACTGATGTAACCTTTTCAACTGCATCAACATTTTTTAACCTTGACCTTTCCTTTGACCTTAACTTCATTTATTTTAAATTAGTGTATAGCTCAGTTTTAAATAAACCATTCAAAATATTTTTATCAAACTTAATATGCTGATATGTATTTATGAGAACTATTCAACTGCATAAAAAACGTTTGACCTTGAACTTTTCTGGGACCTTGACCTCACTTTTCTTAAATTTGCACTTTGCTTAATTTTAAAGAAACCATTTAAGATACATTTATGTAAGCTTATGCACTTATACATAATTTGGTGAGAATTTATCATCTATATCAAACTTTTTAGATTTCAATTTCAATTTTAAAGAAACTATTCAAGATATTCTCATCAAATTTCATACACTCACACAAATTTTCATGTTGCATTACTAATATACCCTCGGTGGGGCATTCATGTCCTATGGACATATTTCTAGTTTTACATCTACTAAACAACAGCAAAGCCATGATAAGTCATATTCATATGGAAGCATCCCCAGGTAGTGTAGATTCAAATTTGTTCAATTAATCCATGACCCCTTAGGGTAGGATGGGGTCACTATATGTGATCAAAATTTAACACAGGAATATATAGTGGAAAAATCTTCTGAAGGAGAACAGCAGAGTTAATAAGTAACTCAGGTGAGTGATGTGTCCCATGGGCCCCTTGTTTTAAAGTACTTTAATCAAGAAAATATTTGCTTCATATGTAAATTATATGTTTACATGTATATATACATTTTTTGTGGCATGAAAGGCCTTAAGGGGTGAAAAGTCTCAGCGTAATCATCAGTAGCGCCGAAACTTCCCAACACTGAGATAACTATCAGAATGCAAAAATATGTTTATATATGTAAGACAGTATGGTAAAATTTTGATTTTCTTTTCAGGCCAGGGGGACAAGGAAGTCGACCTTGGGCACCAACCACATCATCAGTAAGTATCTGTAAGAAGGGGAAGTGAGGGAGGGGGAGATGACGGATGGGGGGGGGTCAGTGAAAGAAAGGGAACACTGTCCAAAAGTTATTTAGTGTTCAGGAAATTGATCCATGATTAAAAATTTATAGGGATAAAAGGTCTTTATGATAAACATATTGATTTTTAAAATTTTGCTATATTTTTTATAGATATATTTTTAAGTAATTTACTTTGATCTTTTTCTATAGATAAATTACTCATCAGCATCACCAGGCAGTTATAATGTAAGTAAAAAAAAAATAATGCAAGTAATGGTGTAAGTAACTGTTATAATGTAACAGTTAAAATATAAGTAATGGTATAAGTATCTATGTAAGTAATAATTATATTTATTTGAATTGTGAGAATTTTGCAGTTGTAATTGAAAACGTGAATTTGGACATTTAGTTCTTAATGAAAATAAGTTCATGAAATTATGTTATCATGTTTATTGCTTTAGAATGGAACAGTTATCACTTTCACTGTATTACTTAAGAAAGGTTCATTATTTGATAAATGAATGTTTGACCTGTTGACAGGGTCCTGGAGGAGGGGGGCCCCCTGGAACACCTATCATGCCAAGTCCACAAGGTAAGACCCCCATAAAAAATGGGAAAATTTGGTAAGATTACTATAAAAAAGGAAATTTCTACTGGTGATCAGGAGTTTCCTTTAAAACAAGACAAAAAGCATGTATGTATGAGCTGCTGTGGTTTTTTGTACTGACAGTAACATGAAAATAAGCCCCAAATGGAAAACCTGTTTTATTATTAAAAAAAAAAAAAAAAAAAAAAAAAAAAAAAAAAATTGAAGTTTTTACATGCAAGAAAGTCATTTTAGTTGTCTGAAAGAAAGTCATTTTTAGTTGGCTGATGAATTTCTGAATTTAGTACACTGATGAGGTATCAGTTAGCAGTATTTTAGGACAGATATAGGTAGCAAACCATAGGTAGATTCTGCTTTCTGTACATGAATACTGTCTGTCAATTTTTATGATATAAAAAAGTGGAAACAAGGGAGATGAATGCAAGTGTATGATTTAAGGGTCCTCCCCACACACCCACCTTACATTCTATTATTACTGAGCAAGATTTTTTCTCAGAGTTTTTAATAAGTACCACATCATTTTTGTGACATATATTATTAAACCCATGTACAGAACAACCACAAAAATCTTATTTTACCAGTCAACATATTTTTTTTAAAAAGAAATTATTAAAAATTATAAAAAATAAAGATAAGTTATTTTCTCTAAAGTCTATGAATGAAAATTTAGGAAATACTCCTGACAATATAGAAGAAACATTAATGAATTAAAATTACAACAAGAAATTGAAATGAAATGGAATTTATTGAATATAGAAAAATGATTTTCAGAATCCTTAGTTTCAAAGTTCTTTTTGAGAGTTATCTTTCCTGTCACCTTAGGATTCAGAATCCCTGGTAAGAGAAGTTACTAAGATGCCACGTACTGGATGAATATCAGTGAGCAAAACCAAAAAAATGCATACTTTTTATCAATATTTATGAACACACAATGAGAGAAGTATAATCAGTCTGTAAAAATTACTACATGTACTTTCAGTACAAGTTTTACTGATGGTATTGCAATAATTGGATTGATGGCATGAATGCATAGATAAACAAAAACAGTTCCTCATAAATATACATGTGATTTACAAATTATAATGCTACAAAAAGGTCTCCTCTTCTCTAATTGAAAAATGACGCTTTTTAGCTCACCTCGACGAAGTCGAGATGAGCTTATGCTATACCCACGGCGTCGGCGTCGGCGTTAGCGTCGGCGTCCCGGTTAAAGTTTTAGGAGCAAGTCCCATTCCCAAGTTACTATAAGCCCTACCTGGACCAAACTTGCATGGATGATGCATCTAGAATGGACACTGCCACACTTGCTTCGGATGCTGGATCTGACCTAGATTTTCCAGATGAGTGACCAGGTTAAAGTTTTTGGAGCAGGTCCATTCCCAAGGAACTATACGCCCTACCTGAACCAAACTTGTATGGATGATGCATCTAGGGATGGACACTACCACACTTGCTTCGGATGCTGGATCTGACCTAGATTTTCCAGATGAGTGACCAGGTTAAAGTTTTTGGAGCAGATCCATTCTCAAGTAACTATAAGCCCTACCTGGACCAAACTTGCATGGATGATGCATCTAGGGATGGACACTACCACACTTGCTTCGGATGCTGGATCTGACCTAGATTTTCCAGATGAGTGACCAGGTTAAAGTTTTTGGAGCAGGTCCATTCCCAAGTAACTATAGGCCCTACCTGAACCAAACTTGCATGGATGATGCATCTAGGGATGGACACTACCACACTTGCTTCGGATGCTGGATCTGACCTAGATTTTCCAGATGAGTGACCAGGTTAAAGTTTTTGGAGCAGATCTATTCCCAAGTAACTATAAGCCCTACCTGGACCAAACTTGCATGGATGATGCATCTAGGAATGGACAATACCACACTTGCTTTGGATGCTGAATCTGACCTACATTTTCCAGATGAGTGACCAGGTTAAAGTTTTTGGAGCACATCCATTCCCAAGTAACTCTAAGCCCTACCTGGACCAAACTTGCATGGATGATGCATCTAGGGATGAACACTACACACTTGCTTCGGGTGCTGAATCTGACCTAGATTTTCCAGATGAGTGACCAGGTTAAAGTTTTTGGAGTAGATCCATTCCCAAGTAACTATAAGCCCTACCTGGACCAAACTTGCATGGATGATGCATCTAGGGATGGACACTACCACACTTGCTTCGGATGCTGAATCTAATCTAGATTTTCCAGATGAGTGACCAGGTTAACGTTTTTGGAGCAGATCCATTCCCAAGTAACTATAGGCCCTACCTGAACGAAATTTGCATGGATGATGCATCTAGGGATGGACACTACCACACTTGCTTCGGATGCTGAATCTGACCTAGATTTTCCAGATGAGTGACCAGGTTAAAGTTTTTGGAGCAGATCCATTCCCAAGTAACTATACGCCCTACCTGAACCAAACTTGCATGGATGATGCATCTAGAATGGACACTGCCACACTTGCTTCGGATGCTGGATCTGACCTAGATTTTTCCAGATGAGTGACCAGGTTAAAGTTTTTGGAGCAGGTCCATTCCCAAGTAACTATAAGCCCTACCTGGACCAAACTTGCATGGATGATGCATCTAGAATGGACACTGCCACACTTGCTTCGGATGCTGGATCTGACCTAGATTTTTCCAGATGAGTGACCAGGTTAAAGTTTTTGGAGCAGGTCCATTCCCAAGTAACTATAAGCCCTACCTGGACCAAACTTGCATGGATGATGCATCTAGGGATGGACACTACCACACTTGCTTCAGATGCTGAATCTAACCTAGATTTTCCAGAAGAGTGACCAGGTTAAAGTTTTTGGAGCAGGTCCATTCCCAAGTAACTATAGGCCCTACCTGAACCAAACTTGCATGGATGATGCATCTAGGGATGGACACTACCACACTTGCTTCGGATGCTGAATCTGACCTAGATTTTCCAGATGAGTGACCAGGTTAAAGTTTTTTGAGCAGGTCTATTTCCAAGTAATTATAAGTCCTTCTTAAACCAAACTTGTATAGATATTGATCTTGGGATGTACACTAACTAGAAAAAATATGATGTGAGATTTGCCTTACTTATAGATAACCTTCGTCGAGGTGAGCTTCGTAATCTTTGATTACCTATGTTTTTCTCTTGGTCAGTGGGTTTATGATGGGTGTCCCTTCTTGTTTACTGCATAATTTTCGCTTGACAAATCATCTTCTAAAGCATTTGAGAGATTCTTTTAATTTCACCTAAAGCAGACCCAGGCAATATGTCAGTGTAGAGCTATATAAAACCAGAAGTAAGATATTTTTTCTCATTATGCATTACAAGTCACAGGATGTGGAGGACCCTTAAATCTCAGAAAGTTTCCATACGTTTTCAGTTGATGAAAGGGAAATAAATCCTACAGAAATTAGAATAGAATAAGCATGTGTCATATATATGCATGAACTTAACATTTATTTTGGAGCATACAAGTACTGTGAAAAAAATAAATAGGAGGGTAGGGAGACTTTTTAAAAAAAAAAAAATTAAATGCAGATGAGAGTTGAATGAGGAAGCTGGGTTATTCACCTAAAAAAAAAAGGGTTTTTTTTGATCAGCTGTTATGTAGGAAGTGTGTCTTGTTTGTGTGTGAGGGAGAGTGAGGGGAATACATGTATTATTTTGGATCCGTCATTTACAAAGGCAGGAGCTAGGGTATTGACTGTTGTTTATAAATTCTCTGTAGGATCTCAAGGGCCATTTTCTCCTGCCAGCCATCAACGAATCGGGTCAAGGCCAGGTGACTACATCTCCAACGACAATATGCCGGGTACTACATTGCTTTCAGATTGAATTTGTTGTGTTTTGGTTTTTCTAAAATGTGTCATTTTTTTTTTGTAGCATATAGGATTTTTTTCCCTTCATTTTCATCCATTCAAAATCATATTGAATCACCATGTTTAGTTTTTCTTTTTTTATACCCAGATTTTTAAGTTTTTTTTCATATTTTTTTTTTCCTTCAATTTTCATGATTAGATTTTTTTTTTAAAAAAAGTTGCAGAAATCCCTCTGAAAGCATGTAGTACATGCTTGATCTTGCAGCAACTGTAGAATCTAGTGCCTGTGTATCTGCCACTTAGATCTATATTCAATGGGCATTTGGCACTACATTATAGCAAAATAACAAGAAAGCTGATATTTACATTCAATGTCGTGTATGCCCAGTAACCAGTGATTCCATATGTCCATTTCCTTTTAATGACCTAGCTACTCCATTAATGTTACATTTTCACTACTTTTGCCTTGAAAAATACTTTCTGAAAAATCCTATGCAAGCTTAGTAGACATCTTGAAACAGACATGTAATTGATATCAATATTCTCCTTATGATCTCAGTTTAAAAAAAAAAAGGCGTTTCTGATTTTCTTAACAATCGTACCATACTTCACATCATCTTTTATTTTGCACAAAATATTCAGTGCCACTATGATTTTGGAATAAAAAGCAATTTCTTATTGTAAACCATTCTAGCCTTACAAGTCATGTTTACATTGCCTGCTTGTATTTTTGTGCATGGAAATGACAGAATTTGAGGAAATTGCCAAAAGACCTTTAGTCCTTGGTAAAAAGACATTGAAAACATCTTTCTATCCACTAGATTGCAATGCCAATAAATAAAAATATAACTGAGAGAATTAAAGCAAACTAACTTGACAAAAAGCGCCTGCATTGCTTGGATTTGCTACATTTCTCTGATTGTGTTTCTCCTTTCTTGTTTCCGCTATCAGATGATGTTGAACCACAAAAGATGCTTTGTTTAGGTAAGATGGAACCTGAAGCAATGACCGTTTTACTAGTGCTGTGATAATGATTGTCCCAGGCTATTGGATGTTTAGACTTCTACCAAATGCTTCTCAGTAGCTTTTGTGAAGTTTTTTTTTTCATTTTTTTTTTTCAAATCATGAAATGTTCATAGCAAATTAAGTGAAAAAATTTTAAAAAGAAATTATATATATTTTTTTTAGTTTTATCTTCTTCATGCATTATTTTATATAATGCAATGTGAATTAATTTTTCCCCTAACTTTTTTCTGAAGAGATGTGTCTCCTGCTTTGCACTTTGACACTTGTTGCTGAGGTTTGCATGGTCTCCTTTGCAGAATGACGATTTCCAGAATAACCCAGATCTTAACCAAGATGTTGCATTCCTTTTTATTGCTTTTAACAATTTTTTTACCAGTTAACCTAATTTCTTACAGATTTCACAAAGTGTTAAAAATATTTCTGGAGATGTACAAATAATGTCAATTAGCTAATAAAATCTCCAGCCAAAGTATGCATGGTTGCATGCAAGAATGCATGAGTCGCATGTCATAACAGGAGATAGATGTAATAGAATGTCATCAAGAACTTGGTTATTTAATCGACTTTGGTTTCTTCTTCTACACCAGCTCACTGGAATATGGCAAATCAAATAAAAAAAATTATTCTGTATCCTATATGTACACAAGCTCAAGGTTTTGAGGAACTTTCCAGTACTTTAAAGTTTACACATTCACACAGATTTGTAGGATTTCACAAAATCTGCCTTAATTATCATGATATTTCAACTCAAAATCATGTGCTCTGAATCCTTCAGTATTAATGTACATATATATAATATATTTGAAATGAAATGGAATATAAAAAATATTCATCTTTATTCTTTCTTGAAATTATGATATTCTCAACATGTCAAAGATTTTTTTAAAAAGATGGTATTTTTGCCATATCAGGTCAATTTCACAAATAAGATGTTCTTGAAAAAAGTAAGTTTTGTAAAGTGTATCTCCTCATAATTAAAACGGTTTAAGCCATTTTGCAAAAATTTAATACAATGTACAAATATGTGTGTGTTTTCTTGCAGATTCTACTAATTCAGGAGATGGAATGTATGGCATGATGAAACCAGGGGGGCCAGGATTACCGGGCATGCCAGGGGTAAGTGAGGGGGGGCACCTGCCATTTGTTTCTCTGTAAGGAACAGTACCCTTTAGATGTTCATTAGTGGTCAGCTTTTTTTTTAACTGAGCTAGGTGACAATGAGGTCACTGTTATCAGTACAGTGTACTTCAATTTTGTTACAAGTCACTTTTTTTCAACCAAGCTAAATAGTACCACACCTATTGATTGATTAAGGAAATAGACATAAAGAGGAACAAATGCTGTCAACAGAAGTTTGTTTTGTACTATATCAAGACTGTTAGCATTCTTCGTATGTTGTGTTATGTGTGGAAGATCTGCTTAAAAAGCACCTGCTATTAGTAGATAGCTTTCAGATTGGATAATACACTGGTATTCTCACATACCAAGCTGCTCATGTTAGCAATACTATATTATGTGGACCATAAAAAACTTTAATTTGTTGGAGTAAGAAGAGGAAAAAAGAAGCTGACCTGTTATTGATTCTTCAAAATGTTGTAACTAATATGGTGTGATGTTTCAGCAGTTCCCAGGGATGCCAGGTGGGCCTGACGGAGCAATGGGCATGGGGCCAGATATCGGGCAAGTCATGAATGGTGGTGAGTATAAGACTGCTAAGTAGAAGCATTTTAATTTGTTGATTATTAAAATTATGTGATGACGGCAAGGCAAAATCTAAGGACTAATCTTACTGCACTTCGTATTGTATAAAGTTTGAGTAAAATGAATTCCCAGTAAATTGTGTGAATGTTTTGTAGAGAAATTATTGGTGAGACTTTTGAACCTTTACCTAAGTTAATCAGGAGCTAAATATTTGTATTTCTATATAGAAGATATAAATGGATACCTAATAAAATTCAATAAGTAATACAGATGAGTTGTATACAGATATTAGAAAGAAAAGGCTGTAAATCAAATTCATGTCTTGGCTTAAGAAATTTTTAGTAGTCGATGCGAGGGTTTTCTGGTAAAATCGTAAACAAGTTGTCTAGAAAGAAAGATACATCAACACTGCATCCTAAAATTTTCACCACTCTTTTGTATATTTTTCACCAATATACCTAGCAAATTTCAAATAGAAACAAAATATGTTATTTTATGGTATGTGTGGTAGAGCCATAGGGTGCACGAACGTTAACATAAAACTCTATAGCAACCTCACCTTTCATCTTTGCTAAGAAAAAGTTGGATAATCTTCACCTAAATATTCGGGAATTTCACTGATGCGCACATGAGAGTTCCCCTTTACAGGCCTTTCAAAATCAACCAGTCCTCAGTACTTTGCCTGGCTGAAATCCTTATTGTAAAAACGCTCACGATTTAACCAGAAACCCTCGTATTTAAATCCACCAAAAGACATTCAAAGCTTGTTTTCACCATTAATTCTTGTGGTGCAGAGAAAAGTCATATGTATTCATTCAATGTGTCTTATTTCAAGGTGACATAGATGGCATGAAGAATTCCCCTGCAAACGGCCCAGGGACGCCGCCAGTTAGCATGGCAGGCTACGTGGGCGATGGCTTAGGTTACCAAGATAATGTAAGTCAGATGAATTTGTGAAAGGATTTCTACAACCTCTGAAAGATGCTCAATGGACTTTGACTGTTGCCCAAAGTATTTGGATGAGTCGTAGTTTCATGTTTTGTAAAGGGAAAAAAAAACTACACAAGGCAAACTGTGCTTCAGTGAATATAAGAAAGACAACATGACACTGTTCATTTTTCACATGCAAAAAAAAAAATATAAAGGGGAATCTTTATTGCACAAAAGTTTTTGAAACAAAAAAAAAAAAAAACAATAGTCAATTTGCATATTGAAACCTTTCACCCCCTGAAATCATGCATACATTTTCCTTCATATCGGGAAACAATTGTTCTGAAAGTGCTTCAGTGTGAAGGGATGAAAGGTTTATTTTTGTATGTGTGTGTTAAGGCCCCCAAACTTAACAAAATAGTGCAACAAATTCTCATGTAACCTATCTTTTGTCAGATGACGTAGAGACACTAGTAACAAATATCTCACTCTATAATGCTTACTGACACCAACTCTCTCATAATCCTGTCTGCTCTGGGTTGATGGGACACTTTGCATGCCAATTTCTGAATGCCTTTAATGCTTTAATCTTTCTTTTATTTTGTGATGACTTGCTTGAATAATTTTGATTTTTAATCCTCTTATTTTTGTATTCACTGCATTTTTTTTTCTTTCTTTTTTTTTTTTTTTTTTGCTTTGTAAATCTTTGTGACGTGTTTTGCTACACAAAAATCAGATTTACTGTCAAACAATCTTGATGGATGCAAAATCATTTGTGGATATTCTCCTTTTACTTCCACCAAAATTTCGGGTTATTAAAAAAAGAATTAAATTTTTGAGGATCCAATTTGGATGTGTGTTGATTGATTGCCTTCGAGTCTTGATTGCATACATTTCTATCTTACGTATTCACTATACCATATCAACAACAGTTGGATGTCCAGATCTCTTGAATGTTTTTCACATATTATTCCTTTGATATCACAGCATGGCTGTCATGGGTGAATGAAATGCAATTTTTCAAAGTACTCTCCCATCTTAAGTAAAAGCGTATTGTAGAAATCAGTATGCTGCTATGCCATATCATTTAAAATCTTAAGAAAATGGCTGCAAAAACAAAACTATTCATGCTCTCTTTGCCATCACATACCCCAAAAATGAGTGAAAAGTCTAGGAAATAAGGATAGGTTTATTTGCCTTAGGCTGCAACCTCTTTCCATAGTTAAGGTAGTTTCTAAGCAACATTCTTTTGCATGTCTCAAAATGACACAAAATAGCAGATTGATTAAGGAAAGTTCATTTACCAATTATTCCATGGTGTGTGAAGTTTGTTACTAAACACTTGATGGGACCAGTAACATAGATTTTAAGTATCAAATCTTAACAAACATATATAGATTGCTTCACTGCTAAGTCGTAGAGAGTAACATTATTAAAATTCCTGTTTACCTTGAAGAAAATCAATTAGGTAGAATTTTCGACCTTTTAAGGTATTCTATGAAAACCTTTTTTTTTGTCACACATTCTGGATTAGGAGGGGGATAGTCACCCTGGAAATTTCAATTGCATGACAATTTTTTCTATCTTTCTTCCTTTCCTGGATTTTCAATTTAAATGAAAAAAAAATAAATGGGGGTAAATTTGGAGGATTTGAATGGATTTTTCCAGCACCAACTGACGGTTGATATTGTGTGATTTTGCAGGACCAAACCGAATCCGCGGCAATCCTCAAGATAAAAGAATGTATGGCAGAGGAAGCTAAGCGGTTTGAAAAAGACTCCGATCAGCCTGATTATTTTTTGTCACAATAATACATCATCCCATTCATTTTTTGTTCAGAAACAAATCTCGTCTTTATTGTAAATTTTTTGTTATTTATAAGTTATATGACTTTGCTGTCTATAATAATGACCATCGCGAGAATGTTTTATTACGATGGAAGTGGTCATAATTATTAAAATGGTGCTTTGTTTTTATGTTAAACTGGGAATTTTTGGAAACCAAAGGACTGGGGACACGAAATCATTAACCTGTTTAAACTCCCTCCCATTTTTAGTGAATTGAAAGTTATTCTCTGTCCCTTTATGGAATTCTTCATGACAATGTTAATGTTGAAGTAGGTCAAATAGGTTTTGAAACTTAAATCATTTGAAATGTTGTTTTTGTCCGTTGTGGCTTTCCAAATCCTTTTCTTTGCATTTTTTGTTAACTGCCATGTTCAATTAATTTTATTAAAAACTTCATTTACACATATTTTGAAGGTGCTTTTAACACGTCTACACAAGTTGCATAAGATTTGGTGCAGATCAGTATTTTATCTTCACACATGACAAGTAAAACCAACAATTGGTTGTGACATAACTCATTAAAATAAAATCATCACCACCCATTTAATTCCTAAATCTTTAAAATCCTGACTCCCCTTTGATGCCCCTCTCCTTTGGTTGGTCCAGCCCAGTTTTTTTATTTATATGTGCTGATCACTTGTCTTTGACTGAAATGACATTTTTTACACTAGACCAAAAGACACATCAGGATTGTTTGAGCAAGAAATAGTCTTTGAGCCACAAATGCCGCCTCTTTAATTTATATTGTTAGCTTTAAAAGTAGAAGCTAATTTGTCTATCGCTTTAGTATTAACATTTAACAGAATTACTCATTTTTTTTCTGCCTCTTACATTTACATTTAATTTTTTTTGGGTTAATCTGCATGTCTGAACAGTGAATTGAATATAAAAAAAACTTGTTTGAAAAGGAAATGGTTTTCAAGAGAAAAATGTGAAAAACTGAAAGGAATTTTCTAGCCAAAACGCATCAACTTTTTTCTGTTCTATTTTGGTCATCATGTCGTGTTTTATGTGTTTTAACCCTCTTGTTTTTTTTTTCTCCTACACAGACAGGAAAATAGCGCTACATGTTTATATACTTGTCAACAAAACATTGAAAATCTCAATCTTCTGTCCCCCCCTTCCGTGTGGCTTTGTTTTCTGGCTTGTCAGATTATTTCTGTACGACTCCTAGCACCCACCCACTTTATGTCTCTATATATGCACATAGTATTGACATCACTATATAGCTGCAGCCTGGGTTAAGAGATTAAAACTCAGAAAATAAACGGTTAACAGGTGCATTTCCATAAACTCTGACCCAGTGGTCATGGGGTATTTTTTGTTGGAATTTTTAAACTGTATATGATATATATGTATACAATTATCATGTTTTTTTTTTCTATTTATTTGTCATTGTTCATTTCGCATATTTTTCACATATGTCTCAAAAAAATGTATGTTAGTATGAAAAAAAAAGAAAGATTTTTTTCACCTTTGAGTTTATAATGATTACTATTTTTTGTAATGCATTTAATCCACAGTTTAAGGATTATAGATGACATACATAGATTCACGATCGGGATCCATAGAGTGAGTGACACTTTTATCATAACCCGTAGCAAGAGGTCTACAATCATTTCAAAGGAGGTATATTTTTGAACTTCTTCGTAGTTTTGCAATTTCAATGACACTGTTTGAGAGGTGTGTCATGGAACAAGAGAGGCTGAAAGAATGATGATTGAGAATTTTTTATTCCACAAAAAGTAAATTAGAGAAGTAGCAGTTCATTGTGTAGCAGTTAGTAATCTCATCTAATTTGTTTATTATGGAGGAAGTAGGTAACGAGATTTTTAAAATGACTTGAATACTTTATAAAAATAGAAATAGCATCTTGGAATTTGATAAATGATAAAATATAGCCATTGTTGTCTCAACCATTTGATTAATTTTTCTCACGGTAAACACATTCATAATTTGGAATGATTGCATGTTTTTCACTAGTTTGTAAGTCTTGCCTTCATACCAAAGAGCAAATTATTATCAGGGGGAGGGAATTTACTTGTAGGTTGTGAAAATTAAATAGCTGTTAAATTCATATATTTCATTCATAGCACCAGATTTCTTTTAAAAATGTGGTCATTTTGTTTTGTCTTCAGAGGAAAGTAAACATTGCTAGGGTTATTAAACATATTCCAGGAAGACATTTTGAAGGGAAAAAAAACAATTATTTGGCAATCGTTGAGTGATTTTTTTTCCTAATGCATATTTTCTCATCATTTCTTTACTCTGTAAGGAAGGTCCATGACGATATATACAATTATGGAGTTGTGTCAATCCATATATTTTAAACATGTTCATTCAAAATTGAGTATGTTATTTGAAATATGAGAAATTTTTACTTGTGTTCAGAACATTTAATGCATTTAAAAATCTGCATCCATTTAAGTGATTTTGTTGACTTCTCTGTTTTCTTTAAACATTAAGTTATATGTGCACTTGTGAATGACCATAAGAACTTTAAAGTGAAATGTTGATTGTGTGAACTGAGATTTTTTTTAAACTTGTTAACATTTGGCAAATGTGGATTTTGTTCAAACTGTTTTTGTTCTTTATTTATGTTGGTGTATTAGATTTATAAGGATCTGAAAAAGGTGGACTATTGCAAACAGTTTACGCAATATATAGATTTCCCATTGTCCTGGATAATTTTTTTATCCGGTAGGTTATAATTTGTATGGAATGTTATTTTGAGGGGAAAATGACAGATTTTCAGCAAAATAACAGACTTTCTTTTTGTCGAATTTTCAGTTATTTTGAGTCCAAAACCATTGTTGATGATGCGTTTTGATTTGAAAGATACCATAAACTCAGGTGACTTAACATTTGATCAGTGTTGGGGAATAAGTTTTTCAGTTTTTGTCCACAATCTTGCCACTTCATAAAATTTAAAATCTGGGTTGTGAATCATATCCTAAGTAAGGCCCTCCTTAGTTCAATTCTCAATGCTATGTAATGGTTAAAGATAGTACGCAGATGGAGTTGGGACAGAAACTAACGATTAAAAGCAAAGCCTGTTGTTTTGGTTTGTTTTCAGATATCAGGATTTTGAGCCTCTCGATTATGATCTGTGAATTTTTCTTCTTTTTCTGATTTTTTTTTTTTTTTTTCCTTTTTTTTGGTTTTAGTAACTTATAGATATATTGCCTTGTACATTTTGATTTTGCAAGAAATATGCATTTTATGTTTTATATTATCTCATTTCATTTAATAATATGACTGTAGTGTATGAAGGTTTTTCTTTTCAATTATTTTCCCCAACATTGTTGATGTTCAAGCGATGAATTGTATGATGTGAAAATGAATGATGTATAAGGTTGCAATCAAAAAACAGTAAAATGACATGGCAATATATTCCCTCATATAAATATACAAACGTTGTTGTCAACATTGTGTAAATACTTCATATCCCATTTTTCTGTATGGAAGTAAATGGTCTTAACATATATATATATTTTTTATTTCCTGTACAGCCATACACATCGGTTGATCTGTCTTGATGTGTAGTAGCAATTATCAATGTTCCTGTTGTTAAAATATCATCATAAAACCTTTTTTTTTTTAAATAAAGGGAGATAAATGACTAAGGAGACCCTCATCTCATACAAATCCATGCATTCTGATATATGTGGACTAAAAAAAATCTCATCTGAAAAACTTTGTTGAGGTTGTTTATATTATTTTTTACAGTAGACGTCAAATATTGTCGATCGTCTCCTTGGTGACTTATCATCCATGAACTACATTGATAGTTGCCGTTTAGTCATATGTTTGTTTAGTATCAGTATGTTGGCTGTATGTTTCTGTATTGTACAAGATCTTCTGTAGTCATTATTGACTGGAAGCTCCATAAAGATGGAATAAATTATCAGTGAGAACATTCTAACATTGGTGTTATCTTATTCATTTTGAACAACCCAGGAGCTGCACGGAACTGAACTGACTTTTACGTTTCACAAAAGAATTTTTGCTCAAGTAAGACTTTGTGCGTCAGTGGTGCATATAAAGAATTCTTGAAGGTCATTGCAAAATAATCGTGCTTTCTGTTATTTGAAATTGCTTTAATTCTTGGATTAGAGTCGAAGTCTAATTTATTGTATATCTAAAGTCTTAATCTATGCAAACAGTTTATAATATACCCTATTCACTGGCCATGAGGACAATAGCAAGCATATTGTCCCCCAAGACGGCAACTAATATTTCCCAAGGCACAACCGAGAGAAATAGGTAGATGCTGTTGAGGGGGACAATGAACTTGCTGTTGTCCAAATAGTAAGTAAATAGGTGTTCTATTTGAATACTAAATATTCACCCGATTTGATGCCATATTCATAGGAGGGTCAGTGCACATGCAGCTGCGATTGTGACATCACAAATGACACCTCAAGTGAAGGTGTAAACAAAGGTTGCAATGGCCAGCTGTGTATCTGAAAAAGAAAAACATTAGGCAAGCCTATAACTGGATTATTATCCAAACATTTCGATGGGAAATGATGTCTAACGTCACACTAGGAAATGAAAACAAGAAAGTTATAACTTGTAATCTAGACATTTTTTTATCATTCTGCGACAGAAGTTGAAAATAATGTCGTCATGCAGTCTCAGTGTCTTGTTTATTCTAATCCGGACTATATAATAAAACAACTATGAACTCTCTTAGTGAATATGGTTTGATGTACATGTATTTACATTGACCTCAGCTTCACACCTCGGTCAATATTGATATTTTTCTGGTGAATATAAAACCATATTCACCACCACTGAAAGAGTCCATTATTATATAATATACAAGAGTCATTCAAAAAATATGTAGACTTTTCTCATAACCTTCGGTAAACATTTTTTAACATTAAATTCAAATAATTTGAATTTTTAGAAAAAAATATGAATACAGGCAGATGTCCTTATCTCAAACTCAATGGGACCGAGAAAAAACTTCGAGATATCCAAGGATTTGAGATATCCAGGGTAAAATACTTAAAAAATTAGGGTTGGGACTTCCAAATCACTTAGACATATTCACGGTATTGGAGATATCAGTGTTCGAGGTACTGAAGTTCAACTGTATATTATGATATTTATCAAAATTATCTAAAATTTAAAACTGTCTGGCATCTGATGTATAACAATACTGAATATACACATTTAGATTTTATTAGCTCACCTGAGCTGAAAGCTCAAGTGAGCTTTTCTGATCACATTTTGTCCGTAGTCCGTCTGTCCGTCCGTCTGTAAACTTTTCACATTTTCGACTTCTTCTCCAGAACCACTGGGCCATTTTCAACCAAACTTGCCACAAAGCATCCTTGGAAGAAGGGGGTTCAAGTTTGTTCAAATGAAGGGCCATGCCCTCTTCCAAGGGGAGATAATTAAGAATAAGTGAAAATTTGGTGTCTTTTTTAAAAAATCTTCTTCTCAAGAACCATTGGGCCAGAGAAGTTGAAACTTATGGGAAACCTTCATTACATAGTGTAGATTCAAGTTTGTTCAAATCATGACCCCCGGGGGTCGGGTGGGGCCACAATGGGGGATCAAAGTTTTACATAGGAATATATAGGAAAATTCTTTAAAAATGTTCTTCTCAAGAACAACAAAGCCACAATTAGTCATATTGATATGAAATCATCCTCAGGTAGTGTAGATTTAAATTTGTTCAAATCAAGACCCCCGGGGGTAGGGTGGGGCCACAATGGGGGATCAAAGTTTTACATAGGAATATATAGGAAAATTCTTTAAAAATCTTCTTCTCAAGAACATCAAAGCCACAATTAGTCATATTGATATGAAATCATCCTCAGGTAATGTAGATTCAAGTTTGTTCAAATCATGACCCCCGGGGGTAGGGTGGGGCCACAATGGGGGATCAAAGTTTTACATAGGAATACATAGGAAAATTCTTTAAAAATCTTCTTCTCAAGAACAGCAAAGCCATGATTTGTCATATTGATATGAAATCATCCTCAGGTAGTGTAGATTTAAGTTTGTTCAAATCATGACCCCCGGGGGTAGGGTGGGGCCACAATGGGGGATCAAAGTTTTACATAGGAATACATAGGAAAATTCTTTAAAAACCTTCTTCTCAAGAACAACAAAGCCACAATTAGTCATATTGATATGAAATCATCCTCAGGTAATGTAGATTCAAGTTTGTTCAAATCATGACCCCCGGGGGTAGGGTGGGGCCACAATGGGGGATCAAAGTTTTACATAGGAATACATAGGAAAATTCTTTAAAAATCTTCTTCTCAAGAACAGCAAAGCCATGATTTGTCATATTGATATGAAATCATCCTCAGGTAGTGTAGATTTAAGTTTGTTCAAATCATGACCCCCGGGGGTAGGGTGGGGCCATAATGGGGGATCAAAGTTTTACATAGGAATACATAGGAAAATTCTTTAAAAATGTTCTTCTCAAGAACAACAAAGCCACAATTAGTCATATTGATATGAAATCATCCTCAGGTAGTGTAGATTTAAGTTTGTTCAAATCATGACCCCCGGGGGTAGTGTGGGGCCACAATAGGGGATCAAAGTTTTACATAGGAATATATAGGAAAATTCTTTAAAAATCTTTTTCTCAAGAACAACAAAGCCACAATTAGTCATTTCGATATGGAATCATCCTCAGGTAATGTAGATTCAAGTTTGTTCAAATCATGACCCCCGGGGGTAGGGTGGGGCCACAATAGGGGATCAAAGTTTTACATAGGAATATATAGGAAAATTCTTTAAAAATCTTTTTCTCAAGAACAACAAAGCCACAATTAGTCATTTTGATATGGAATCATCCTCAGGTAATGTAGATTCAAGTTTGTTCAAATCATGACCCCCGGGGGTAGGGTGGGGCCACAATAGGGGATCAAAGTTTTACATAGGAATATATAGGAAAATTCTTTAAAAATCTTTTTCTCAAGAACAACAAAGCCACAATTAGTCATTTTGATATGGAATCATCCTCAGGTAATGTAGATTCAAGTTTGTTCAAATCATGACCCCCGGGGGTAGGGTGGAGCCACAATGGGGGATCAAAGTTTTACATAGGAATATATAGGAAAATTCTTTAAAAATTTTCTTCTCAAGAACAACAAAGCCACAATTAGTCATATTGATATGGAAACATCCTTAGGTAGTGTAGATTCAAATTTGTCAAAATCAAGACCCCCGGGGGTAGGGTGGGTCCACAATGGGTGATCAAAGTTTTACATAGGAATAAATAGGAAAAATCTTTTAAAATCTTTTCAAGAACAGGAAAGCCGTGATTAGTCATTTTGATATTGAAGCATCCCCAAGTATTGTAGATTCAAGTTTGTTCAAGGCATCCTCCAGTAGTAGGGTGGGGCCATAATCGGGGATCAAAGTTTAACAAAAGAATATATATAAGAAATATCTTAAAAAATCTTCTTCTCAAGAACAACAAAGCCATAATTAGTCATATTGATATGGAAGCATCCTTAGGTAGTGTATATTCAAGTTTGTTCAAATCTTGAACCCCCCCTCCCTTCCTTCCCCCCAGGGTAGGATGGCAGACATCTTTAAAATTCCGTTTCAAGAACAGCAAAACCATGATTAGTTATATGAATATAGAAGCATCCTCAGAAAGTTTAGATTCAATTTCATTCAAAACATGGCAAATGGGGATAGCTTATGCCTAGAACAGTTGGTCAAAGCTTTACGTATGAATATATAGAAGAAGAAATCTGCTGACAAAGAACAGCAGGGCCATATTGACTCAGGTGAGCGTTGTGGCCCATGGGCCTCTTGTTTCATTTAAGACATTACTTTGTTTAAAAGAAATCCATTTCTAAAGACAGGTAGACATTGAAAAAAGCAAAACAAGATGATGTGGAAGGACGTCACAGAACAGCTAGTAGAAATAAATTTTGTTTTGCACTGCACGTAAAATCTCTAAAACAAACTGAAAATGCTGGAGGAACCAGAATTATATCAAAATTGAGAAAGTATTTGTAGATAAATGGAAAAGACACTGTGTGAGTGGTAGAGACATTGAATTGAATGATGGACTGATTTGCAAAGAAATGGACTATTTTGTCAAATTGAAAATCAAATGAAAAGAATACTATGATTGGTAATATCATGGAAAAATTTGTTTACCATGGATAAAATGCTCACCAAAGTATTCGTATTGGTAATGTCATGGAAAGTGATGTGTGCTTCACTGCTGCGGAACTTGTGAAAGCAGAGTTACGCAATAAAAAATTGGAATACACTGATAATTAAGCTATTTTGACAATTCTTAGCAAACTAAAGCTAGCTGTCAAATGTTACAAAGATTGTTTATGAATGGGTAAGGTGCTACAGACTGTGTTTGAAATGAAAAGCCAGAGTAATTTTGAGAAACTTTCACATCGTTTTTGACTTTGTTTTTGATGGTGCAACATTGAGGGTGCTCCTTGATGACAAAACATTGATTTTAAAATTGAGTAATGCGAGTTCCATTTAATCAAATAAAAGGAAACATGTAAACAAAAGAAATGTTTTCACATTTGAAAATGCGTACCTTAAATCTTGTAAAAATAATATGATGAGGGACATCGTCTACGTGTTTTTTGAATGACCCTCATACTTCCAAGTAAATTAACTGCATCTGATTTTTGAGAAAAATCTGTTAAAAAAACACCATTACTATTAGTATGATGAAACCATGCACTCCAACATGTTGGAACATCCCATATCAAAAAATAATACATAAAAGTATATTTTTAATATATTTTTAATACAATCATTTTCGTATTGTTTAATACGAATAATAATAATTGTTTAATATCGTTTAATACAGAAAAAATATATTATTTTTGTATCACCAACAAATAGGTAGATTATTTTTGTATTAAAATCTGACTTTGATTTTTTATAAGGTATTATTTT